ACCCGAAGGAAGAATCATACCACTAGACCAAACAGCCATCCACCAACTGATTCCTCACTACTTTGTTGCAAAGGTTCTTGGAATACCGTTGACGTCATTGTTGCGGTCTGTTTTGTGTATTGGGGTGCGATATGTAGACATACTGCCAAATTCGCGTGCGTCTTGTCACCGCCCGACTCATTCCGCTTTCCGTCATTCATTGATTTCGTGCGAGTCGCACGCCATTGATACGGCTCGTGGTTGGTTCTTTGAATGTAATTTATTGGTTGAATTGGGCGGCAAAAGCGAGGGGGTGTTTTAAATTCTGTGCGTTTAATTCTGCGAGTCATTTTTGGTATGTTGAATCACTGTAGTTGGCGTTCGTAGAAGGTGGAGTTGGAGTTATTCAATTACTGCAATTCGTGTGACCTGGAGTTGGGTTGCTAGGCGTGATTACTGCACATTGTGTGTGTGCACACAGTGTGTGTGATTGGTTATTGTGTTTTAGTCAATATGCTGTGATGCCTTCCGATCAATTGTATAACGGTTACCCATGGGGGCCAGCAGCAGCATCAGCGGCGGCGGCGCCTACCTACGGTTCGCGTGTGTTGCCGCCGTTGCGACCAGCGTTGCCGGACGGTGTAGTGGCGGACTTACGTTGCGAAGTGTGTTGGGAGATGAACGAGACAGGTACGGTGGTCTGTGTTGGATGCAAGTTGCGTGTGCATCCGCCCTGTTACGGTTGTGCGGCATCGGCCGAGTTTACATGTGCAGTATGTTTATACTGGCGCAACCTAGGTCTGACATTGCCAGACCGAGATCTTGTGTGTGTGCTATGCAACCGACCCAAGGGCGCCCTGAAAAGCGGCGCAGAAGGACTATGGGTCCACGTTGGTTGTGTTCTTTATGCACAAGACGGACCCAGTTTCAGGAATCAAATGGCACGTGTCGGTCCGAGCAACATACGAAAAGCTCTTGCCAATCAGAACCGGAGCAGACACCAATGCGATGTGTGCTATTCAGGAGAAGGTCACACCACGCAGTGCGCCTTCCCAGGCTGTCCGAAACAACTGCATATCAGTTGCGCCTTCGAAAAGCTCCTGAAACCTGGCGTCGTTCTAATCTCAGCAAGAGTACCCGTCAATATGTTCGGAGGCGAAGCAGAGACAAAGACAGTAGAAAAAATTATTAAAGTCGTCACCTGCGAGCAACATTCCAACACCAATGCGCGCAATGGCATCGAGACTTACGAAACGCAGCAACTTCAAAAAACTGACCTCTCACGTCTCTGCCAACCCACTGCTTCAGCGCCTGTACAGGCCCCGGAAACAACCGCCTATGCCAACTACTCCCAGTGGGGCTACGGAGCCGCGCCCCAAGGTTACTCCACCCCAGGCTACTCAGCCCAAGGATATGCCACTGCCGCACCCGGCTATGCGCCCCAAGGCTACTCGGCCCAGGGATATGCCGCCCCGGGATACCCCACCGCCGCACAAGGCTATGCCGCACAGGGCTATGCCCCACCCGGTCAGTACCCACCTTACTATTACAACCCCGCCACGACCACGCCAGCCGCAGGAGTCGCGCCTACGGCCGCCGGTTTCCAAGCTGCCGGCTTCGGCAACTGGCTACCACACCAGTACGGCTACGCACAACACATCCTTCAGCGCACACCACCCTTCTGGGGTCAGTATGGCATGCAACCGCCCGCGCAGCACCGCCCCGCCCCCGCGGCTGCCGCGCCCGCCCTTGTAGCGCGGGTGCGCACTACACAGGCCCCTGCGCCGGCGGCGGCGGCGCCGGCAGCGGCAGCGGCGGCTCCGGAGCCCAAGGCTCCGGAGCCAAAAACGGAGAAGAAGGGGAAGGGGAAGGTGAAGGTGAAGGCGGAGTCGCCGGCGGAGTCGAAGAAGAAGCGAGCGTCAACTGGTGCCCGCGGTGCGCAGAGCAACGCGGGTTCGCGGACACGCGAAAACGCAGGCGGGAAGGCGGGACGGAAGGGAGCCGCGCCGACGGCGACGAGTACGCGTTCTGCGCGCGGGAAACCGGAGGAAGAGTATGTGGGAGGCCCGACGACGTTGCGTGGGGCGAAAGTGAATTGGACGAGGCTGGAGCCATTCATGTCGGCAGTGCAAGGTGCGGGAGGGGAGCGGCTGCGTGCGTTGTTGGCTGCGTTAGAGGCCTGCACGCAAGCGACGCTTCATCAGGCTGTGCGTTGGGGTTGGTTGGAGCAGGGTTTCGCGGCGCTCAGTGAAGCCGACCTTCGCCGGGTTTGGCAAAGCAAGTGTGCAGTGGATCAGAGCCGGCCGAGCGTGCCCTTCAGCGTGCTGCTCAGCACCGAACTGAAGGGGTGCGCTATCCAACACATTTGGTCCTTCTGGGTGCAGAAGGACCAGGACTGCGAAGCCGTCGATTTCAGTTTCGTTAACAACAATGCCGCCCAGACCCTCCGAAGTAGGCCTGATGTCCTGGTCGCAGAAAGCTTAGCCAAAGACGTCGAAATGGACCTGGCCGCCGTAGACACTATGACCGGCAGCCCAGGCGGCGAACCGCCTAGAACAACCCAACTCGACCTCTCGGACCACCCCTCCCAGGCGTCTCGTCCGGCCCAGGCATCGGACGAGGCCCAGGTTCAGGCCCAGGTATCTGGGACAAATCAGGCGCAGGTGTCTCAAACCACTTACGGGTCGTCTTGGTCTGGACCGGCGGGCGGGGGTGTGTCTCGGGAGTTGTTCGTTCGTAACGCGGCTTCGGCGTTTGGATGTTTATTACGGCACACGTTGGAGGGTGTGGCAGAGGCGGAAGGTCGTGCGTTGGGTATCGAGATGTGTAGTTGGAATGAGATCAGCAGACTGGAGTGTTTATTCAGTGGTGCGGCGACTCCCTTCTTTGTGTTGTTGCGTAAGGTACCTCCAGAGTTGTTTTCAACGGCCAAACAGACTCCAGCGGCGACGTCCAAGTATTTGCAAGAGCGTGAGAATGCGACATTTTCTTTGGACCCATGTTTGTTGAAGAAGACAGCGAGCACGACCAAGAAATTATTTCTTCATGGGCGTTTCTGGGACTTGAACCCGCCTATGCCACAAGCCGATAGTCGGGCGCTACTACCTCCCAACTCGTATACCGTCACGGTTTCGACCAACTTCTTCGGCCAGTCTGCGAACGCTGTGCCCGTCAGTGACGAGACCACACGCGAATGGCTCACTGCAGCGCAACGTGTGCGACAATTGCGCTCGCAACAGGCACTGGGTTATGGCGCAGGAGAGGTGAGCTTAGATTTCCAAAAGGCGGCGCGAGGTGAGGAGTTTGTAAAATTGTTGAGTAGCGAGCAGTATTGGCATACACTGATATTCTCAGATGACTTTGTTCAACGCCAAATGGCGAGTCTGTTGAACGTCTGGGCCAAGAGACGTGCAAGGCATGTCGCCCTGGTGCGTAAACTAACGCATGTTGTAAAGGAGGAAACAAAGCAGCCGCGATGGATAGTTGACGACCCTGCGCGTTTGCAAACACTCTGTCACACCGCGACGGCCGCTAACCGCTGGTCTGCCCTCCGCTACTGGTTCCAGGCCGGACATCAAGACCCCGCTCAGGCCCTCGTCGACAAGGTCCAGCTGGAACACGAGCATCGACACCTTATTAAAGACGGAGTTCCACCGGTGACTGGTGACCCGAATGCGCCAGGTGCGACTTCTTCCAAGATGTACTTTTGCATGGCATGCTTCGCCGCGGATACGGATACACTGAATCCCCTAGCGGCGTGTCTACGGTGCGGCTGTCTAGCACACAACCACTGCTATGCCGTCGGCGCACCTGGTCAACTCGAAGTGGAAAATCACCCTTGGCTCTGCGATCGCTGCACTTCTGACGGTGCCGAACCCATTAGCAAGCACGGCAAACAATACCCACCCCCACCTCCCGGCGCCTGCGCCGTCTGTCTCCAACTCGGTGGCTGTCTCAAAACCCTCGTCGTCGCTGGCAACGGTAACAACGTCACCGTTGGCAATAACAACGCCTCTGGCCGAACCACTACCGGAAGGTGTTTTGTGCATATTACCTGCGCACTCTGGGTCAACCCGGTGATAAGTTGCACCGACTGGGCGCAATTGTCGGGGTTTACGCTCGATCCGACGGCGCTGCGTAGCTCCAGCGCAGGACAGCACACCTGTGTGTTCTGTCAAATTCCGGAACATCGGGCGAGACGTGCGAATGAATGCACGCCAGAACGGCCGTTGAGCGAACGCGGATTGACCGTGGGGTGTTTGGAACCTGGTTGCGATGTCCGGTTTCATCCAATGTGTGTTTGGTTAGCGGGTTGCCGTGTGGTGGCGGAACCGGACTACACACGTTCTGTTAGTACGGAAGTGTTTCTACCGAGTCTCAGTTTCGCCGGGTTCTGCCCCGATCACTCCACTTACCCCGGGCGTCTCGACGTGGCCGTTATTGCCACACACCGCCATCGTGCATACTCCACGAAAACTGGACACTTCGCCGGTAATGACGAAGCCGAACCGGAACGAGAACGTATGCGCCAAGGTGAACGACAGGGCTCCAAACAACCAGGCCTGCGCAGCGAGACCCGACGACCCAGCATCACCGATCAGACCAACCCTGCTCACTGGCAGCCCGCCCCCGAACGCCTAGCTCCCGCCGACCTCTACCAGGCACACGTCTGCCAAGCCTGTCTCGGCCTCGTCCCATCATTAGGGTCCAACCCCGGCCTAGGGTCCGGCAACCCCTTAGGATCCGCCCCCCCACTAAAATCCGCCCCTTTAGGCCCCACCCCGCTGGTATGTTGCGAAGGGTGCGAGCGAGTTCAGGTCCACGCCGGGCGTTGCGAAGAGGGTGTGCTGAATACCGCACACCTGTGTGTGCAGTGTGCAGACGCGCGTGCGGAGAACCCGCCTGGTTGCGCTCTTTGTCCGCGCGCGGGGGGCGCCTTTCTCGCACTCGCGGACAGCGCCAGTTCTGCGGATGGAGCATGTGTGCACAAATTCTGCGCACACGCGCTGCTCGGAGACGAACCCGTTTCGTGGAGCGCACTCCGTACAGCCGCCGCCGCCGCCGCAGACGCAGATGCCTCCTGTCTCGTTTGCCAAACCCGCAACGGCCATCTCCTTCGTTGTGCAGCAGACGGCTGCAACCGCGCTGCACACCCCCTTTGTGCCGCTCTCGCCCAGACGGGAAGACCTTCGGCGACGTCGACCACCGCCGGGACGGGGGGCACTGCTGGGACGGGGGGTACCGCTGGCAACCAAGAGAGAGAGGGCTGGACCTGCGCGACGCACGCCTTGTGGGCCCAGTTGCAGACGCTCAAGGCCGCCGCGGATGCAGCGGTGCGCGAAGCGGACGTCGCTTCAGCGGCGGATTGGAGCACACCTGAACGCAAACGTGCTAAACGCAAACGCCTCATGCTCGTTGAAGGCAGCAGCGACGAAGGCTGAGGAAATAGGGCAACAGTCTACTTCGGCGGTGCATATTTGGCTGTACGGTAGGCAGGATACCCATTCGGTACTTATGGGGAATGCTACTCTGCAGAATAATCCCATCCGTCTCTGCTTTTGCGGGATACTTACGGGAGTACCACCAAAGCTACCCGCGATACCACCTACTCGTGTGGCACAACATAGGTAGTTGCAGCCCTGGCTACGCTCTCAAGCAAACGTGCCTGAGGACAAGCGTGCCTGAGGACAGGCAAGCGGATGATGGTGACTCGGGCTAATTGATAATGCTGATAGCTGGCCATGTTGGCCCGATTGGTCGTCATGTTGGCGTCATCTCGGCCGTAACTGGTCTCGAGATCGCGAGCGGTCACGCTGAGCATGTTCTGAGTGGGCTGAGAATATGCGGAGGACACGTGGATATATGCCCGAGGATATATGCCCGACCGAAACCATGTATCGGCTTGATTGAAGAAGTCGAGAATTGGGGTCGAGAGTTAAGTAGACTTTTCCGGACGCAACCGAGTGGGGTTAGACGCAACAGCTGCGCGCCTTGCGGTTCTTGGGCTCGTCCCCGGGCGTGTGCCAGTCCAGCTGCGTCCCGTTGCGCGGACACAGACTGCAACAGATAGCGTCGATACCGACTACTTCGCGCGGTCCGTTTTCTCTCAAACGAATGCTCCGCTGTTCTCGCTCCACCTGGTGGTGACCCCGTCCGCCTGGGGAGTGACCACGGCGACCTGAGTCATGACCGCCTGAGTCGACCCAAGTTGTCAGCGCCCTGCCGGATGGGTCCGGTGCAGCTGAGTCGGGTGAAAGTTGCGGCTTTCTGCTGCCTCGTGTCGGCGGCCGGTAGTCGGGTTGGTGTGGTCGTGGTGGACGCGCCCGGTCCGGCTGGTCGGAGGGGGAGGGGGAAGGGGAAGGGATTGATTTGGGTATAGTGTCAGGGGAATGAGTCGACTGTGTTGGTGCCCGCTTGTTCGCGTGGGGAGATGAAGAGCGCGAGGCATGGCTGGGCGACGGGATCCAGGGCGAGCCGCTCCTGGGCCTCAAGGGACCATCGTCGTCCAAGCTGTCATGCTTGCGGATGTGACGGTTGTACCCGCCACGCTCCTGCAGCCGCGGGGAAACGCTGAGTCGCGCTAGATGGGAGATTGCCAGCGACCAGCGCTGCGTGGCATCTCGACGAAGAGTAGGGTCCGTACAACCACTACTAGCCTACGAGGCAACAGTCCTGCCATGTGCATACGCGTGCCAGACGTGCGCCACCACACCACTGCCACAGGTGCATCCAATCCTGCGTAACGTCCACCCCACTGGATTACCCCATTCGACTCGAAGTATGCGGAAAGCAGAACGTACGGAGAGCATGATACCAGGCAAAACGTACGAAGAGCATGGTACCAGGCGTTACGAGGGTGTCGGGGGTTACGAGGGTGCTGAGGGGTTAAGAGGTGCCGGGGAGGTTTAACATGGTGCCGGCTGGCCCAGTGATTGGAGAAAGGTGCCGGAGAAAGGTGCTCAGTACGAGCTTAGATCTTCTGCAAATAGAGGCCGGATATAACTTATTTAGCATATTTTTTTGTGAAATAAAATGGCGAAGCGGTGCGGAGTGCGAAGTGAGCACGGTCGGTTGCGTACAGTGCTGGTGTCGGAGCCTTCCTTGGCGCACAAGCGGTTGACTCCGGGAAACTGTCACGGATTCCTGTACGATGACGTGCTGTGGGTGGAAAAGGCGATTGCCGACCACCGCGACCTGAAGAGAAAGTTGGAGGCCGAAGACGTAGAGGTGCTGGAGCTGAAGGACTGCTTGGAATGGATCTTTCGTCATAAGCGGGAGGAAGCGTTGGTACCAACGATCGACTACCGTCTGAGTTTCATTGATAACATACAGGCGCGCGCGGCTCTGCGGAAATGGTTTCTGGCTCTGGATTCGCCGCGCACATGTGTGGAACATATCACGGGCGGAGTGGCCAGCTTCGAATTAGACGAGGAAACCCTCGTGAAATGCGGAATCAACTCCGACAGAGACGGCCCGCAGACTCCCCGAATGCTGCTGGCGCCCCTGCCTAACATGCAGTTCCAGAGAGACACCAGCATCTGGATTGATGACAAGGTTCTGGTTTCGCGTATGAACATTCCGGTGCGCAGCCAGGAAACCTACCTGCTCCAAAAGATCTGGGAGCACCACCCGAGGTTCGAAGGCGCCGGCATCTGGAACACTGCTTTGCGAAAAGAAGCCTCCCACAGCAGCCTGTCCACCGACGACTCGGACTGCTCCCAGGCTACCTTCGAAGGCGGCGATGTTCTGGTCGCCGGAAACGGCGTCGTACTCTGCGGAGTCGGAGAACGCACCACGCAACAAGGACTCGAACAGGTTGCACGGCTCCTCCTAGCGAAGAACTCGACCATCACAAAGGTCATAGCTTGCATCATGCCCGAAGCCAGAAGCTGTATGCACCTCGACACTGTTTTCAACTTTGTGGACAAGGATCTCGCAATCGCGTATAAACCTGTCACCGACACAATCCGATGCGTCACCTACCATTCAGACGATGGTCAAGTGCTGCAACACACCAAACATGACGGTGAATCCATGTACAACGTGATTGCCGCAGCGCTAGGACTCCCAAATGGTCTCGACATTGTTGACGTACAAACCGACCCCTTCACTAACGAAAGGGAACAATGGGATGATGGATATAATCTGGTTGTTGTCCGCCCGCGCGTTGTTGTGGCCTACAACCGTAACCTCAACGCCAATCGAGCTCTACGCGAAAAAGGAGTCACCGTTATCGAGGTGGACGGCTCAGAGCTCGGCAGAGGTCGTGGCGGCCCCCACTGCATGACCTGTCCCATTTTTAGAGACTAGATTTTCAAACTTTTTGGAGGTCTGGGTTTTTTTCAGTTGAAGTAGATCTTGTACAGAGAAAAAAATTGAAGCGCACACACACGTGTGCTCAATCCGAACAAGTTAAGATTATGAAGATATGCGATCCCTCTTCGGTGAGTTTGGGTCTCTGATGAATATTCGTGATACAGATAGGCCGCCTATTGGAATGTACCACTGTCCTTCTCGTGTTCAGCGGTATTTCGTACATGATGGACCGAATTATGGATTGTTTTAGCATTCTGATATCTCTCGGCTCTCCGCACGCGTATTTTAGAGAATGGATAGGCTGGTCAGTGTACCGCCTTCTGGATGTGAGCGGCGTGGGGCCGTTGATAAGTTCGGTTATTCTAGGTATGGGCCGAACAGTGCCAACTTCAGATTCTTTAGGCATTCCGACGGTCGTTCGCGATATGGTTTTCCACGGCGCCGTGGTGGCATCGTTCTTTTATTTGCTGGACGAGCTGCCAGCACTGAAATTCGATTGGCATGCTCTCTGTTTGAGAGCGCCGGGGGCCGACGAGCATTGGTCGACAACGCCCCATGAACGTGTTAAGGCGGTGGTGGAGCAAGTCGCAAAGTGGATGACGCCCGAGTCGTCTCCAGTGAAAATCACCCGGCGTCGGGTCTCGCAGGAGGAGGCAATTCGGACAGTGGGGGCAGAGGTAGTCCGGGCCGCTTCTTCGGGTGAGTTGGCCGCGCCCTCCGGGACCGAGTCTCCCGGGATCGAGCCCTCACTGCCGGGCGGTCGGTCGCCGAGTAGCCGGTCGCGCCGGAAGACAGCGACGCCGGTGAAGGCGACGAGTGTGCAGACACGTCGGGCGAAGCGACTTGGGCAATTTTCGGGCGAGAAATGAAGCGGGTGGAATTGGTGGCCGGTGAGTCGCACCGGAACCTACGCAAGGGGTTGATTCCGGCGGTGGACCTGCACCCGTCGGAGGGCGTGGCGCATGAGGTCCTGAACCTGCGTCCATGGGGGAGTCCGTTGGACTTAGTGAGTTGTGTGCGTTTCCCACCTGGAGTGGCGGGCATATTGCGTAGTCGCATCTCGGAGGACTTTGAGAAGCTGAGTGGTCTCAATTCCACGGTGGTGCCTTTGCCGCTGGGTCTGCGGGTTACGCCGACGTTCCGTGAGGATTTTCGTTGTTTTGCGGTCGAGGTGGATTTGTATAGCGACGAGGATGTGGCAATGATCAAGCTCTGGCACCCGTACCTGGACTTGGAGCAGCACCCGGCGCAGACAGAGGCGGAGTCGCGCAAGGCGCAATTTACGCTCAAGTTGACCGGATTGTTGACGGAGTTGCCGACGGTGATGGAGGCTTACAAGTCGTTGGACCAGGACCTATTATTTAAGGCGGCCAACATCTCGCAATTGATGGTCGTAACCTTCGCTGAGGAGGAGCGCCATACGTTCCCCGTGGACATCTCCGCCGAACGCAATGACCATGTCTGCATCGAACAGTTCATGCCGCGCGCTGAACGCAATCGCCTGGACGAACACGCACTTACACTCCCGCGTTGCCCCTGGCTCAATCCCAGTGGCGTCACCGCGCCTTTGAGACTCTTCCGCGAAGAGCGCACCCGCGATTACAGCGTTGCAACCAAGGCCGAAATCCGCGCCTGCGAAATGGCCATGCTCAGCATACTTAAACGCGGCCGCATGGAGTGGGCCGAACTCGATGTACATTCTGCCCTCGAAGCCTTCATGCTCGAAGAAGCTCTCAAACCCAACACCACAGTACCCAACGCGCAAGCCGTGCTCAGCAGTAAACCCCGTCCACATTTCGCCCCCCCTCTTCGAGTTCGCCCCACTCCGTACTCCTCCCGTGTTCTCCACCCCGTCCCGTGTTCTCCACCTCGTCCCGTGTTCTCCACCCCGTGTTAGTACATAGATCCAAGTGTTCTGCAGACAACGAGCAAAAGATTGTAAAGGTAATTGGCGAGCAGGCGACAGACTTGTTCGATGACGCGGCGAGCGACCTTAGTGATCAGTTGTTCGGGGACGACCACACGTTGGACGAGAAGCACTTCCTCGAGGACAAGACCGCAGTGAAGCGTCGCAAGGACCGCAAGCCGACGGGTGAGGAGATGGTTGCGGCCGGTGTAGGGGGCGACGACCAGGCAGGACGTATGGCGCTGGAGCAGGAGTTCAACGAGCTGGCGGAGTCCGCGGTACGGCAGATCCTGGAGCGCGACATCGAGGACGACTTTTTCTCGGGCGCCGTCCTGGAGGAGCCGGAGTAGGTTTTTTAATCATGCCCAGACAGTCGACCGAGAAGCCCAGACAGCTAAGCGAACAGCGTAGACAGCACAGCGAGAAGCCGCCGCCCACACGGAGCGCCAAGCACTTGCTGCAGACATACGTCACGGCCTACAAGGCGGCCTGTACCCAGGAAAATTACTTCCTCTACCCCAAGCGTGTCTTCGAGGATGTCGCTACCGGCCAACAACTCATGCGCCAGGTCGAGATCTTGACGCCCTTTCTCTGGTACTGTGAACAAAGTCGCAAAATTAAGGAACATGACCTGATCAATCTGCGTGCTTGCTGGATAAGGATGAAAGACGAAGCGGATCTTGTTCTGTAAGCACCTCAGCTAACCCAGCGGTGGCTGGATATGCACGAACGACTCTGACCCTGGGGTCTGCGCAGCTTGCGTCGTGGCCACACATGTTGTGTTGTAGCCGAGCAGAGTTCCTGATCGAGTTCGGGACGCGGGCAGACATGGACTCCGTGCGCGAGTTGCTCACTGTGGCCAAGAAGCGCAACTTCCTGTCGCACGGGGCGATTATAGCGGTAAGCGAACAGGCTTTCTGGGGCAGAGGCTGCTTGAGGCGGATGCGGCGGGAACGAGGCGCTCGCTGTTGGGGACAGAGACGCTGACTCCATAAAATACTCGCTGCTTGCTTGGTAGTTGGAGAATCACCGACTTTCATTAAGTCAATAGAAAATGTTTGGCCTTATGAGCGGATAGAGTCTCGCGAGCAGCACAAGGGAGCTCCACCGGAGCGGTCCGCCGGCGGCGAATTCGTTTAGGTTGTTGTGTTGGGTCCAGAAGTCGGTCCAGGTTTGTGGGTCTGCAGAGAGTGGTGTGAGTGATGAGTGTGCTTACCTCCTGTGTGGAGGCCGTCGCTATTGAGCGGGACGGCGGGTTTGGGGAATTTCTTGTGAGGTGTGACCATGACGCGTGCGCTTTCGATGAGGCACTCGGCGGAGTGCAGCAGGACGAAGGCCTTGAGGTGGGTGTCATTGGATAAGTGTACACGTGTCTCCTCAGGCGGGGCGGAATCGACTTGTTGGGCTGCGGGGCTTTCGGGCGAGTTTGTGGGCTGGAACGAGTTGCTCAGAACGTCCATGGCTTTTTGGCGTCGGTGTGCGATGCAAGCGTCCACTTCGCTGGCGGCACGGACGACGAAGGTGCACTTGTCAAGCACGGCAGGCGTCCGGGCGTCCGTCTCGGCCCGAGGGTCTTGGAGGTGGGCGCTCAGGTCGTGGTGGGCGGTCGTCAAGTCGTGGGCGGGAGCGCCGCCGGAGGGAGGGAGGTTGTGAGGGCCGCAGACGGGTATATTGACGAGACGGGAGCGTGCGAGCACGTCTTGTTCCTTGACTTCGATCGCGAGGGGGCCCATGGGGTTTCGGAGTGTGAATTTCTCTGCGCTGGACATTGAGGCGCAGGTGGCGGTGATGAGGAGCTGGAGTGCGAGTTGTATGACACGGAGATTGGGACATACGGCGTGCGGGTCGGCTGCGACAGCGATGAGTGGTTGGTCTAGAACGTCTAGTGCCAGGAGAGATTGTATTTCTTCGCAAGAGATCATGTAGCTGGCGAGGAAGTCCTGTACGGCGAAGTCAGGATTGCGTGCGTTGAGTTGCTTTTGGGTGCGCGTGGCGGTGCCGGCGGTGAAGGTGACTTGGACGCGCCGTTGGGAGAGTAGTTGTTCGGCTTGTTCGGCTTCTCCGGCTGCGCGTCGGACGACGACGTCGACGATGTCGTCGGCGGCGCGCAGGACGGCGGCCATGAGATCGTCGACGCTGAGTCCGACCTCCTCATCGTGGAGCGGCGAGATCCGGAAGTCGGGAGTGTTAAAGGGCACGTGACTGAGCGCGACCACGAACTGTTCTCGGCGCAACGTCTGGCCGTGGCCGGGCGCCGAGACGTGCGCCGTCCCAGCGGAATACGCGCGCATTTGGTTCGTCGAACAGGCTACGCCGACCGACGTCCAGATTTCAGCCAAGTCGTCTTCGTTTATCTCGCCCGGCACCAAGTGCATGTCCGTCATCAACGTCGTGATTCGGTCAATCGGAATTGACGGAGACTCCGAGTCGGAATCTGAGTCGCCGTTGCGGTCGGTGTTTCGAATTCGGTCGCTGTCCTTGAGGCCGTCCTTGGGGAGGCCGTCGTTGAGGAGAGCGTCATCAGCGCCGGTCTTGCGAGTGGCACCTCCGGTGGAGCGCCGCGTCGGGCTGAGTCGCGTTTCCAGCCAGTCCCAGAAGGAATCCAATACCAGTTCCGTGTAGCGCGGATAAAGGAGCACGCACCAGGTCAGGAGACTCACGTCCCCGTCCAGGTCCTCCAACGTTAGCAAGACGTCTTCCAACTTGGGGTTATGATGCGCCGGCAAAATGTCAGCTAAATATATCGTAATTAAATGTTCCAAAAATCGCCGCAATAAGTTCTGGATGCGACGCTCCTCTTCGTACTTCGTACTATCGCACAACTGGCTCAAGCTTTCAATCGTCTTGTAACAGTTCTGGATGGCGTCCCGTTTACCTGAACCAGTAACGATATGGTTTAAAAGCTGAGTCTGAATTGCAATCTCACCACGACCTAACAAGAAGAGGGTATGTGCAATGGGGGTGTGTGGAATGAACGGTAATGGGGAGTGAGTGGGGCCAGGAAATGAGCCGGGATGGGGTAGGAATCGTACTGGTGAACCAAGAACACATTTCCGTGTCTGAGGTTTGGTAGACGGTGCTCCTGGAGAACCACGGCCATGCCTTACAGACCTCTGCGTTCATGTCTGTCCATTTATTCTCGTACTGTTGTCGAAACTCGAGATCCCTGTCTCTAAACAGCTGCTCTGTGTTCCCGCTGTATAAGGCCAGTTTCCCGCTCCTCTTGGTCAAGGGAATGCCGTTCACAGCGAGGACGAGGGCTGTGTAGTCCTCTAGAGACACTTGGTCCCGATGTAAAAAGTTGGGGAACGGGGGGAGTATGCAAGCGTCCGCAGACCATTCGAGAGAAGCCTCCTCCTCTTCAAACGCTTGCAAGTACTCGTCCATCGCCTTGGGACAGTCACCGCCAAGTACGGGTTCGTGTAGCACGGGTTCGTGTAGCACGGATTCGCGCACCCCATTCAGACCGGGTTCAAAGGCGGGGTCGCCCGACCCCGGCTCGCCAGAGAGCAAGCCGGTAGGCTCCTCCAGAGGGTCCGGCGTGCGTAACTCCTCCAGCACCAATCCCTCCAGACTCGCAGCCGAGCCTCGCGGTGTGCTAGTCTCCATCGACGTTTGCACTCCAGTCGCTTGGTCCGTTACAGACTCCATCGACGAGGCTGTCACAGAGTCTCGTGTTTGCGTTACGGAATCCCGCACGCAGTCTTGCACGGAATCCCGTACGGAATCTCGCACGGAGTTTCTCACCGAGTCTCTCACCGAGTCACTGACCAGTGGCGGTGGGGACCGCGGTATTGAGCGTGGTGACCGGGACGGGGATCGAGCCGGGGACCTTGGCGGAGACCGCGGGAGAGACCGCGGACTGGCCAGTTGGTACGTGAGGTCGCGGTCCGGGGAGGGGCCGGACATGTGTTGCACAGACCCCACGAGTGGAGAGGCGATCTCACCCCGTGAGCCCGGGACGGCAATGAGCGTGGGGGACATGGGCACCGTGGCCGAGTTTGCCGACGAGGGCCCCATCACCGTCGAGGGACTCACAGCCCCGACCAGCGCAGGGTCTCCGGGAGTCGAATACACGTCCGCTGCACGATACAAGTCCACCGCTTGGTACACGTCCACGGGCGGGTACATCTCGGCAGCGTGGTAGCCTTCGATCGCGGGGTAAGGTTCCGAGGGGTAAGTCTCCAGTTCGATCGCACCATATCCTTCAACCCGGAAGTAAGGTTCGACCGACTGATATGTTTCAACCCGAGGGTATCCCTCAACCGTGGCGGGGTATCCTTCAACCGCGGCGGGGTATCCTTCAACCGCGGCGGGGTAACCTTCAGCCACCGGAGGATATCCTTCAACAGGATGGTATCCGTCCACTGACGGATACACTTCGACAGACGCATAGACTTCCCCAGCCGCCCCGATAGCGTCGGGAATCACGAGTGCGCCGCCAGCCAGCCCGTCTGGAGCGATAAGACTGCCACTCACCAAGCCGTCCCCGGTCCGGTGCCCTAACTGCGGGTCGCCATCAGCTTTGGACAGTTTACCCGCAGACCCATCCCGGCTCAAGCAGGAGCTGTCGAAGGCGCCGCCAGCTGATGCCACAACTGAGAGACCGTGTCCACCCTGCAGGCTGTGTGCGCCCTGCAGAGTGTGTGCGCCCTGCAGGCTGTGTGCGCCCTGCAGAGTGTGTGCGCCCTGCAGAGTGTGTGCGCCCTGCAGAGTGTGTGCGCCCTGCAGAGTGTGTGTTACCTGGAGGGGGTGACCGCCGGGGAGAGGAAACCAGGAAACAGACGTGGTCTGCGCGGCGTCCAGCGGCCTCATTCCGAAGCCGTCTCGGGACAGGACGGGGGCGCCTTGTAGCCGCGGGAGAGCGTCCGTGGGCTGCTGCAGTTCCAGGCGACTGTGCTCGGTTTTCCTAGGCAGGAAGTCGGCCAGTTTGGCGACCTCGGCAAACTTGGACGCGTCCTCGACAGTGGCCGGTGGCGGGATGAGGTCTACCGGTCGGAAGTGTGGCCGCTCGTCGTTCGACCGAGGCCTCGTGTGATCCGTGCCATTTGTCTGGCTCGGTGTATATCGTCTGTGTAATCGATGACCCACAGACCGGTGGCCTACAGATCGGGGTCCTTCTATCGGTCCATTTGCTTCTGTTCGGTAGTCTGTCACATTCCGGTAGTCTACGGGCCGGTGGTCGAATGTAGGATACCCCGCCGGGTCTTGCGCCGGTTGCGACCGCAGGTCCGAAGCAGGCGTCCGTCCGGAGTTGTCCGGCGACTCGGAAGAAGGCGAGGTGTACAGAAGGCCGTCGCAAGGCACAGCGGTGGCAGGCGTAGTGGCCGTATCCTGAACGGCTGGCGTGAAGGGACAGGGGGTGTGCACGTCCCGCACTTTCCGCTTAAATCTTCGCTCGATGTGGTAAGAGCACACACGTTCGCTTGCGAAGGAAGGCGTACAAACTTCTTGTGGAGACCCGGTGCCGGAAGCGGAGTGCCCGGAAGCAGCATGGCCATTGTTGTTCGGACTACTGCCCCCGATGGAAGTCGCACTGTGATGCCTAATCAGAACTCCATTGGTCGGCTTACGCAGATCTCGCTGTCTACCATACAAAGTGTGACCAGGCGTCGAAAAATCGCCTCCACGCCTGCGCTCAGGTGCCAGCTACCAACTGGTGGGACCTCAGTCAACTGCGGAGGCGTCTGGAAGTATGCTTGACAATGATGTAGCCCGGGAACGCGCAGGGAGGGGCGTAGGGAGGTACCTTTCTTCGTGTAGGTCGCGGTACCGTGCTTGTACAATCTGGCTATAGTGGTGCATCTGCACTTACTCCATAAATTGTGATTGACGTTTTTGAATACGGGGCCTAGCAAAAACAATCTAAGTGAATCTGTCATCATAAGCACGCGTGGTCACACCGTGAGTGTACCCATCCAAACCTACTGGTGGAGGACCCCGCGGCCGAACATGACCTTTAAAATTAAAAGAGCTAAGCTTCTTACCTACTCGGGAAACTTCCAAGTCTCGGCGCTCAGTCAACTCAGGGGATTGGAACTCAGGGGATTGGAACTCAGAGGATTGATCGGGTGGCAGTTGGATCCGGTGAAGAAGTTATGATGATGTAATATTCTGAGAATGATATAGATGACTATAGGTTCAACATAGAGATTAAAAACCGCTCTTGTTGAGCTCCTTCATGTAAGCCTGGTAAGCCAGACGGTGTGCCTCCTTCATGGAGTGTCGATGGAAGACCTGATCGGCCGCCACTTGTTGACCGTCAGGAGTATATGCGTGTGCGTGCATGGCAATGCACTTGGAGGGACCGACACTTGTTTGGACGTCGCGTTCCCAATACTTATAATCGACGGGGAAGAGTAGTGTGGCTTGGTAGATGTCGAAAGGCCAGGCGGACTTCTTTTCCGTTAGAGTATTGCCCCGATGTAATGCCTCCGCCGTGGTCTTGGTAACATTGTTAATTTCTTGGCGTGTGTCGTTTCTCATCTGAGTGACTTGTTCCGCACTGAGTCCGGGTAGGTATGATACGCTCACGGACTTTCCGAGACCTATCGGTTCGCCTGTGGTTTCATTTTCGTGTCGTTCGTCTTGGAACCGCGCACCTAAAAAGAAGAAGACCCTCCAACAGACGAACCAACGCATAGGATACCGGGCCGTCCTTCGATACAGAAGTCCAGCCCGATGTGGGGGTGGGGATCATGCAGGGTAGGGGCGCACAGGGATCCAAGTTGCACCGCCGAGAGCTGCTCTAGAATTCAAGTCGGAAGACCGGAGTCCGAAGACCGCAATCCAAAGACCGAAGTCCTAAGACCGAAGTCCGAGACTGAGTTCTTAACAACCCTTGTTCGCGAACCCCTGGGCCGGCAGGGCTGGTTTGACTCGCCGGATTTACCACTGGGGTCGGCAGCCGTGTCACGTTTCATGGACACCTCGTCCGCTAAGGCAATATCCCCTCGCGTCGGCGACATATGTGGCGAAGATCACCACCGTCCTCTCATCACCACGCAGCCATCCAGGTGCAGCCGCTTGCCTGCTATCGGAGCCAGCCATCCAAAGGAGGCTAGCTGGAGAAAGGGCCGGCGGTGCACCGTTCCGACTCGAGGTGGGACGCCCTCCAGGAACAGTGCACGCTCCGGAAAAACGGTAGCTTTGTGATATTCCTGGCGACTCGGACGGAATCACTTCAAGCCATGTGGCGGAGCTTTGGTGGACGGAAACCCGCTGACAACGAGGGCGCGATCGACGCTGGACGGCTAGCCTACTACCGGTGTACCACTCTAGTCCTCCATTGTCCCCGGCGCTGGGACCTGACGCACGAGGATGTCCGGGTTAGGCACCGGGTGTTGGTCGGAAGCCCGAAGGCTAGGCCCTCCACCGTAGCCGTCCATGGTCCTGTGCAGTTAGGAGATTAAGTCGCGAACAGTTTCGCGACTGCAACTCGGTGCTGGCTGCTGTCTTCATCGGGCCTACCTTGTTTGCTTGCCGAAGTCTGCATGCGGGTGCAGGGGGGTCTGAGATACACAAGCGTGCACCTGAACGATGACTCGCAAGTGCTGTGGAGGACAGTTCAACCGTACCCCGCACAACAGCATGAATACCGAACCGGAAACCATAGTTCTGCGTTCGACTCTACCCAAACCGGCGCCCCGTTGGGCGGACTTGTCCACTCGGGCTAAGTTGGAGGCTGCACCTTCGGGTGCACCTTCGGCTGCACCTTCGCCTGCAGCATCGGGGAAGCAGCAACTGCTTCACCCCGTGCTTCAGGTGCTCAACCAACTTGAAAGGAACCATCCGCAAGAATCTGATACCATATCCGGTATCAAACAACACCTCAGGTCCTATGTGGAGCAAGATGGTGACGCCACACCCGCCTCCATATTTGGTGCAAGATCTGCACCATCCGCTTTCAGACCACTCACTCCTCCGGACCTCGCCAGACAACTGGCTCCAACGCAGGAAGCAAGTCCCGTGAGCCTTTCGGACGTGACCTCGATCGACCTCGACGGCCATGAACCCAACTGGGTCATGGATGGTGCAGGGTGCGACGACTTTTTGGAGCCAATCCTCAAGGTCGTTCGCAACCTCGCCTCCGTCCTCGGCAGCAGTCTTAATATCACCGGCCGCAAAGAGGATAAGGCCATCTCAGTCACACACAATCACTCCGAGGCCGCCTCCTGCAACCCAGGCTGCTGGGCATTCGAGATCCCGGCCAACCACCATGACTACATCCCAGAAAAATGTGCACCACAAAGGTGCCCACCCGCACCTTGCCCAAGCGCACCTACGAAAACCAACCAACTACTAAGCAACGTGCATCCACAGGGATACAGAACTACAGTTAGAATACCTTTATGAATATATTCATGAAATTGTGTTTTTTGTTATTCACAAACACACGTGTTTGTTTGCCGAAAAATATGAATAAATTACTAGTCTCTCTATGGGATACGCAGGAGCAAGAGGCGGAGTAACCCTTTCCATCGACCACCGAATGACTACCTCGTCACCCTCTCTATGAGTCTATCTTCGTGATTCGTGCATATGATTGATTCGCTTTGTGACATTGCAAATTTCTGCATGCTTGCATCTTTATCATTGCGAATTTCTGCAAAGACAGTTGTCCGAATTTCTCTTGGTATATCACGGACCGAAAACCTTCATCCGCTACCAGAAGTATGCTAGCAGTGCTTCCCTGGCGCAGAGGACAGGGAACACGTATGTCCTTACGGACGCAGGAGGATCGTTCCACGTAATTTTCCCTCCATTTTACTGTTCTTGTCAAGGTAGGCATGATGGAGTGTCGTCTGTTGGCGTTGCGTGGTTTACGTAGCGCTGCATGCGTTCATTTCGTTACTGTTCCTTTTAGACGCTCGTTTTCATTCTTCGTCGTTGTTGTGCAAGCACATGACCGCGGCATTGTTGCAGCGCACGGCCCTGCGCTCTTCCTCCCGATGTTGCTCCCCATCAAGTTAAGTCGACCCCGCCGGAGACGGCTACGAAGTCATCTGCCTGAATTGCGGCGGTATGTGTTTCTTTCTGATCCTCTTGTTGAGGTGTTAGTTTAGACTTGATTTCGGCCAGCATGGAAATTTTCCATTGGTCAAGTGGTGTGATGTGATCGAAATCTGCGACGGCTTGGGAGAACAGTTTTACATCGTCTTTTTCAACGGCTTCGCATATTTTTTGAGAGAGTTTGGCTAGTCGTGATTCAGCGAAACGGGGGTCTAGTTTACGATACTGTTCCATTGCTACGGATGCGGTGATGGCATCTTCTTGGCATAGGTGAAGTATGACTGCCTTAAAGAAACATTCTTTCGCATTATATTGTAGTAATGTGTTCTTAAGTGCTTTATTGCCCTCTTCCTCATAAATCCGGATTGCCGTACCATAGTCCCGGTCAACGGTGGCTACAAGGTTAGCATAGGCCATTATACATTGCGAGTAATTACTCTTACTAAACTCATCCAAGTCGTAGTACTCAGCCGCCTTCTTATAAAACGACTTTGCAGCAGACACATCCGTACTATTGTACTCTTCCGCCAACTGCTTCATCAACTTACCCGCCTGAGCAAAACGACCCGCCGACGTGTAAATAGAACAAGCCTTCGTATACAATGACTCCGCACTTTTAGCACTTGTCTTAATCGCCATATTGCCCGCATCAACATATGCATTCGCCGCCGAAACACGGTCTTCGCCTAATAACGCAATCTCCGCTGATCGCGCGAAACAACGCTCACTCTCCACCCACTGCTTGTTCACTTTGTAACTGTTCGCCGCCTGCAAATACTTGTCCGCTGCCTCATCGTAACTTACTCCACCCATCAACTTCTTCCATAACGAAGGCCGACACAAATCTTCCGCTTCACGCTCCAATGCTTGTACCGCCTTCAAATCCATCCTGCTGCTCCACTACTGCTCCACTACGGCTGTTGCTCCACTACTACTGTTGCTCCACTACTACTGCTGCTCCGCTACTACTGCTGCTCCGCTACTACTGCTGCTCCGTTATTACCTGCCAAGGTTCAAGCAGTGACTCTTCAGCCAGTTTGGGGGGTAAAAAAAAGTTATGCGATGGCGATGATTGTCAATGATACCCGATCGTCCGTGGCCCGATCGTCCGTAGCCCGATCGTCCGTGGCGCATTCTATTTCGGCTGAGCATTCGGAATCGTTCGCGGCAGGTGCTCGTGCTCGAGCACGCGCGTGTGCCCGTTCTAATTCGCGGGTGGCAGAACGGAGTGAGGTGGAGTCTTCGGGTGCGTTGACATGGACGGAGAGTCGGACTGGGCGTTCGGGGTTGGGAAGTGGGGCATTGTTGGATTTTGATACGGGTGGTGCGCGACAAGTAATTGAGGACTTGGCAGCGAGTCAGTATACATTAACGGACTTGTTACAGCATGCACGGTCATATGAGGCGGCCTCCTTTCGGGATGCGTCGCGTAAAGCGGAACATGAGGTTATGGAACCGACAAGTGGACTCAACATTCGTGCGGCGGAACCTCCCGTCCGTATCGTGGAGGAGTTCAAGTCGGACTTACATCGCGGGTTGACAGTTGTTCAATATCGTGAACATCTGGTGACCTACGGTCCCAATAAGCTGGCAGATGTACCTCGTGAAAGCCCGTTTTCTATATTCCTCCGGTCGTTAGCAGCGCCGGTGATTTTGCTGCTGCTCACGGCCGGTGTGGTTTGCTTCGCCTTCCAGGAGTGGGCGGAGGGTGCGGTGGTCATCACAGTGGTGTTGGTGAACTCGCTGATGACCACGGTCATGGAATCTTCGGCCTCGAATGCCATGGCCGCTTTGGCACAACTCGCTGCACCCGCCTGCGACGTCGTCAGGGACGGACAGGAACTGACTATAGACAGCACTGACGTCGTACCAGGAGACGTGCTCCTACTCACCACCGGCTGCACTGTAGCCGCAGATGCACGCGTGGTAGAAGCCTCTGACCTGCGCACCAATGAAGTCATCCTCACAGGCGAACCACACGAAGTACATAAAGGCGTCGTCTGCAAAAACCCGCATGTCGCCTTCGCAGATAACCTATGCTTCGGCTCAACCAACGTCGTCAACGGACGCGGAAAAGCCATAGTCTACGCTACGGGAATGAACACACAGGTCGGACGCATTGCCGCACACCTCGCCGGACATCGAACGGACAAAGCAAAAGGCAAATGCAAATGCAACCACTCCGGGCACAAAACACCCCTCCAAGCCGCATTAGACAAACTCGGCGGTTGGATCGGAGGTGTAGCAGTCATCTGCCTCGCCATCGTTGTCGTCGTCGCAATCCTCATCGAATATGAAGATCCCACACACCCAGACGTGAACCGAATACTCGCCGTAAATCTCTACACTGATGCACAAAACAGATCCGCAACAGATGTGCAAATACGGATTCGCTTCCAAACACGTGTGTATCAAACACGTGTGTGCACACACATATCGTGGTTGCAGATTATTCTGGTGGGGGTCGGATTCGCAGTGTGTTGCATACCGGAAGGGTTGCCGTTGGTCGTGACTATCTGTCTCAGTCGCGGGTGTACGGAACTGATGCGGAAGCAGGCGAACGTACGGAAACTGCCGGCAGTGGAGACGTTGGGGAGTTGCAGTGTCATTTGTTCCGACAAAACGGGTACGTTGACGGAAGGGAAGATGACCGCGACTGACTTGGTTGTCTTTACGACTGAGTCTGAAGGTCAGTTCCAGTTTTACCCGACTCGCGGGTTCGATCCTCACGGGTCCTTATTTCTACGTCAGGCGTTGAACGCGGACGTAAAGGAGCGCATTTCTGCTTTGTGCGCTCAGGCGACCACGTCCGTCCGGCCGGACTTCGGCTCAGTCGCAACGGACGTGAGCGCTGCGGACGAGATGATGGGGTTGTGTCCTCTCGCCCGCAGCGCCATGGTGGCATTTTATCTCAACTCCTACACGACCAAGCTGGTCGAATCAGAGGAGAAGACATGGAAAACTGTGGGCAACATGTCCGAAGGCGCGATTGTCGTCGCCGCGGCTAAATGTGGCCTGGGCAGCCTCCCCGGCTGCCGCGACCCCCGGGAGGAATACACACGCGTGGTGGAGGGGGAAGTGGCCTTCAGTAGTAGCCGCAAGTGCATGGCCACTCTTCACCAACTTGTTGAACCCAACAAATTCGAGACCATTCGCTTCCAGTCGACTGGGAAAGCCGGGACGGCCACAGCCGGGACGGTACAGGAAGATCCAGTGACGCACGTGGCGGTGATAAAGGGTGCGCCGGAGAAGTTGTTGGCGCAGGTGAAGCGTTGTTTGAAGAAGAGCGCGGCAGAACCGGGCACGTATTCACCGGAACCGGACGTCCGGATTTCCTTGGAAGCGGCGGCCGCAGCGAACGTGGGGATGTCCAACCAGGCATTGCGAGTACTGGCGTTGGCGCTGGTACCGATCCGTGCATCGCAGGTGGGATGCATCGTGTCGCACTCGGGCAACGCAGACGAGTTGGTTCAGTGCTACTTCCAGCTTGACTTCACTCTCCTAGGCATGGTAGGATCCATCGATCCCCCTAAGGAGGGTGTGCGGGAAGCAGTGCTTGGTTGCAAGTCTGCTGGCATCAAGGTCATCATGATCACCGGCGACCAGGTGAACACAGCGAAGGCAGTCGCGGACCAGATCGCCATTACAGAGCCGGGCACCAGGGACAACCCTGAGAACGTCGCCAGACGAGCAGATGTCACCGGAGGAGCCTCAGACAGTCCGGGCACCGCCACCGAGGGAGGGTGTCCGGAGCGCACGGACAGCGAGAGTGGGGACCGCGGTAGTGCGGCCCGTCCGGGCGTGGACCATGGGGGTGTGGTGACGATGTGTGCGGCGTTGCACGACCGGGATGACCCGTTTGCAGCGCACCGGTCATCGCGCGAGGTGGACGCTATAGTGCGGCGTACGAGTGTGTTTGCGCGTGCGCAGCCGGAGGACAAGATTGCAATTGTGAAAGCATTGCAGCGGATGGGTCATGTGGTCGCCATGACTGGGGATGGGGTGAATGATGCCCCAGCATTGCAGGCAGCGGACATCGGGGTGTCGATGGGTATTACGGGTACAGATGTGGCCAAGGGTGCGAGTGAATTGGTGTTGCTGGATGACAATTTTGTTACCATCGTGTCGGCCATCAACATTGGGCGTCGCATCTACTGTAACATACAGACCTTCGTCGCCTACATGATCGGCTGCAATACGGCCGAGGTCATTTACCTCCTGACTGCCATTTTGTGCGATATGATGATGCCCATCGCCGCCGTCCAAATCTTGTTCCTTAATCTCATGACCTCGCTACCGGCACTCAGCCTCTCTGTCGAGCCCGCCAACCCTGATAATATGCGTAAACCACCCCGCCCAAGTGGCCAACCCATTATGACCAAGGACTGGTGGCTGTTTGGTAATCTTCCGCACGCGTTTGTCGAAAGTGTGCTGGTTCTCGTTAATCTCGCACTCGCCATGTACCTTAACAACGGTGTTGTCACCATCTCCCAAGTCCATGGACAATGCCGCCGCACAGATTACCAAGCCTACTTCTGCCAAAATGTGGAGTACCGCCTCGACCACGGCTTCTCCGGCTGGGTGACCAACGTGGACTACTTTGACGGCACCACCATGCGTCAGATCCTCGGTGCCACCAAGGGCAAACACACCCACTGGCTACGACCCGATGACATCTTCGGCGCCGGCGGCGCAGCCGCCGCGGCGCCGGGATGCGAAATACTGGACGAGTACGGCTGGTGTGTGCCGCCGGCGTCGTACCGTCATGAAAACCACACTGTGCTCATGCGTGGAAGTGAAATAGCATTGTCAATGTCCTTCCTGTGTTGCGTGGTGATCGAGATCATTCGTACCTACACTGTTCGTAGTTGGATTGCGGGTTGGAAAATATTCAATCGGAGCGGCGCAATGCATGTGCTCTGCTCCGCCTGTCTGGCTCTCACCATCCTAGTCATCATCATCCCCGGACTGAACAGCATCCTTAGCCTTTGGCCGCTACAGTGGTGGCAATATCTCATTCCGCTCGGCTGGAGTCTACTCGCCGCCGTTTGGGATGAATGTACTGGCAAATATTACTATCGACACCATTATTATCCCAATCATGTACTCAACAAAAAACCAGCCCCCACAGCCTCTCGCCAACCCACCAGCGCCCACGAAGATCCCGAACCTATCGACGAGACCCTTGTATTGCGGGCTAGCGAACCAGTCAAAATTCCACTCGGCTCCCACCACATTACCATCCACCGAAAATCATCTGTTCCACAAAACGCGGCTGAATTCTGACACGAACACCACCTGCTTGCGAGCACTGGTCGCTGGTCACCTTTCTCATGGTCGTCGACTTGACTTGACCTGACCTGACCGTCCTCTGGAAGGCGGTGCACTGGTTTGTAAGTCATGTCGAACGGTGGGTCATATTGAACGGTGGGGTGAAATGGAGGGGTCAGAGACAACTACAGGTCACTGGTATGGGACGGTCGGGCTCGATGGTGGTCTGGGTTGGAGTGTATGTATATATGGCACAGAGTCGGGGCATATGGCTCCAGGTGCATGTCGTGAACCCCCCAAGGAGTCTCAAGCTTCGGAGTCTCAAGCTAAGATGTCTAACCCTAGCAAGGCTATTGAAACCAGCAAGAACGACACTTCTCATGGAGGTGCCGTCGACCCAGTTGGTGTCCAGAAAGTGGAAGGTGTGGCTTTCGTTCGTGGGAACTCATATGAAAATCCTCTTGAATTCTTGAAGGCTGTGGAATCTCATAGAAGACAAGTGACTAAAGAGCTGAGCAAAGATAAGACCACTGAACAGAATAAGTAGGGGCCGTTTTTTAGCTGGACATAAAACTCATGTGGGAAGGGATAGTGCAGAAGTTCCTTCACCGATATCTAAGCCCCTATATCTATGGACTGCGTAAAGATAAGGTAACTTTCGGTCTCATGTCAGGTAGGCATCACACACACTTTACATTGAGTAACAACACACTCACACACCATGTGTAACACTGCATGCGTAGCACACACCCGATGCGTAGCACACACCCGATGCGTAGCACACACCCGATGCGTAGCACACACCCGATGCGTAGCACACACCCGATAGAGTATGCGTAATAGGTGACTTAAGGATAACCGAGTTTTTCGTAAGACCGGAAGTATCGGATTTGCTGGACTTGCCTTTTAACGTGGACTACGGTCGGGTGGATTACCTACAGTTGCATATGCCTTGGGGCGGCATGTTATTGGGCAAGGCTAACCAACAGGTATCCTTGACGGCTAGTGGCATTACGTTGTTCTTGTCACCGAGGATAATGGATGCTGGAGGCGACCCTTATGAGGAGGCACAGAAAATGGTGGAGCGTTTGAGACAGCAAAAGTTCAAGTACGTTTTGCACGGCGAAAAGGTTGCAGTGGACAGTTGGCGCCTGGAGCAGGAGGCGAACGAAAAAAAGAACGATGGGGGTGGAGGTGGTGGAGTTGGTAATTTCCTGGTTGGAAAGATGCTGAAGAATTTGACCATTGACTTCAAGGACATTACCGTGTGTATCCGTGACCCTGCCCGAGAGTTATTGTTAGGTTCGAATGTGTGTGCAATCCAAATTTACAATACCGACGACCGATGGCGGAAAACAGTGGTCGATAGTGGTAATAGTGACTCTCAGTATAAGGTGGCTGAGACCCAAGGAATTGGGGTATACTATGGAAGATGCCAGTACATCGATCCTCCAATAATTGAGAAGATAACTGAGACTATAGGCGCCAGTCACGAAGGTTCCATAGAAGGTTCCCCACCTGGCATGTCTGTTGGGATGTCTGCGGGCATGTCTGGTGGTATGTCTGGTGGTATGTCTGGCGACTTGAATTCTAGAGGAGATGCAGAGCTGAATTTGAAAGAAGGGACTCTGGACCAAATAAAGACCAACGCGGCGTATGGAGAGTTGGGTAAGCGTATTAAGGGCGTAATTGGTACGTCGGGGGAGATAGACGCCGTGGGCGGCTCGGGTTTGGAGCCAGGGCCTGTGGGTGACAAGAAGGTTCGGTTTACAGTAACGGTTGGTGTGGATCGAACGCGTTCTAAGTTTGTGGCAGGTAATAACGTGTGTATGGATGTGGTCTTACAGGAGTTTGGTTATGTACTGAATCCGACGAATATCAAGTTGAATTTGAACAAGAGTAAGTCGGTAGTGGAGGCGACTTTGGTGATTGACGAGAAGACACGGGGTATTACGATCCAGCGAACGCAGCTAAAAAGTTTGTTGGACTTACACCGAGAGAACCAACTGCGTCAAAAAAATTACCACCGACTTCTGATGGCTGAGAGTAATTACGTGAACCTAACGCCAGAGGCTCTGGAGGATGATGGCGCAACTAAAAACGAGTACTGGACATTGTACTCGAAACAGCTGTTGGTAGCCGGTGGGTACAGCGAGGATGCTCTAACCCCCCAGGAATTGTCTCGTCTCCGCATCCTCAACGACATAGTACCAAGCCGATTACTTATCAAGTGGCGTAGTAGATGTTCTATTGCGTTTGAAAAACGGATACCTCGACCGACCAAGGAAGACCGTCCACCACCTAGCTGGTGGAGTCGTCTCACACGCCAAGATGAGGTCCCTGGCGTCATCGTCGCTGCTGACTCAGGACCGCCGTTGCTCTTGGACCCTCAGGAAGTCAAATACCTCCAAAATGAACTTCAACTTCTTGATGACATGGCTCTCTCCTCCAATAACTCCCTAGCTCTCAAAGTTAGCCTCAACAAATTCGCCATCGAACTACTCGCCGACGACCAGGCCAGTTTCCTCCACTTGCTCTTGAGCGGCGTCAGTCTCGAGCTTCTCCTTTCACCAAAAATCGACCATGAACTCAGAGAAGTTTACGAATGGTCTTTCAGTGGCCGAATGCAGTCTCTTACCTGCAGCCAGTGGGGTGAGACTTGGATGTACTTCCAAGGTTCACCCAAAGCGGGGTCTCCGCAACATAGCGTCAGTCAAAGTTTCGCTGGTGACGCTGAACGCAGTGGAACCGGACTCGGCGGCACCGGACGCAGTGGGACCGGACTCGGCGTCACCGGACGCAGTGGGACTGGACCGAGCGGGGCGGGTTTGGGATCGGGCGTTGAGCAGGGCTACGACCGGCGTGCCAGTTTCGAGTTTGAAGATGCAGTGGAGGACATGTCGGAAGATGGGCAGCGGCTAGACTCATTGGACTCGAATGGCAAGAGCTACGTCAAGAGCTTCAGCGGTGCCCGTAGCTTCAGTGGTGCCCGTAGCTTCAGCGGTGCCCGTAGCTTCAGCGGCGTTAAGAGCATGAGCGGGGTCCTGACCGAAAAGGATTTGAGTTTGGAACAAAGCCCTGAATCTCAATCCGGTCACTTGTTTCATGAACAGAGTAACATAGACCAACCAGTAGGTTTGGACTCGGAGGTAAGGAATGAAGAGCGCGGAGTGGTGGGTAGTTTTGTGGAAGTAACAAACAAGATTTTAGAGACACATCATTTGTTGAGTGTTAGCACACAAGTATTACCTTTAATATTAGAAGTGAAGCCAAGTATATTCGTGGAGTTTATAAAGTTCTTTACATTCGAAGCATCATCGGAGTTTGAGGAAGAGATGCGACGTGTGAAAGAAATTGGTGCATTAAGGGATAGTGCGCTGAATGATCTGGTGATGGATCAGACAGAAAAATTGAAGGCGAAGGTTGCGGTTAATCAAGCGGCGGATCAGCGTGTAGCTAAGGCGAAAAGATTTCGTTGGGATGTACATATGGCGGCCCCGATCGTCGTTTATAATGACCCGAGTGTGGGGAACATAAAACTTAACTTAGGTCGTCTGGACATTTCGACACCAGAGGAAAGAACCATTCATGACCTGTTATTCGATTGTAAGTTAACGGATATTATGTTGAATTGTGCAGTCTACAACGAGCTCGGTAAACTATTACCATCTACTCAAGTCATTTCACCTATATCCATGAGGGTATTGGTGAATTTGGAGAAACTCAATCATGTAGATGTATGTCTCTCCACAGAGTGTATCGATCTTAGAATAGACCCCGGTCTCATGCGACTCGTTCGAGACATACCCCACTCCCTTCGCACCCAGACCAAGACCGAGCCCGACCTGTGTCCAGGACAGACCGACGGCGGCAACTCGGCACCCGAAGATGAACTCGTATCACGCTTTATTCTACAAAGCAGCTCCGATTACCTAGCCAACATACCCTCTCTACCCGGCTCCAGCAATCTGCTGGAGGATGAGGCTCATGACAAACAACCCGAACTCTCCATGCTATCCGTCCTCTTCAAATTCAATAAAATCTCCTTCACCATGGAAGACTTTGAAAAGGGTGACCGCCTTATCGCAATTTTCGCAAACACTAATGCTGGTTACCGGAAGGACTGGACCACCGGCGAGTACTACACCGAGTTCCAATGCGGAAGCTTCCTCGTTGCCGACGGCGTTGATGACTTTGTCCTCGCCGAAACCGTCGGCGGCGATGAAGACGTCTTCGCCGACGTCTTACCTACGAGCGTAGCGGGACCAGGCCTTACGGCACCAGGCCTGACGGGACCAGGCCTGGCGGGCCTAGGCCTGGCGGGCCTAGGCCTGACGGGCCCAGCAGGCCTCCCAAGACCAGACCGGGGTCCGTGGGGCGGCAGCAAAGCATTTGAAGCGCGCTTTTGGGAAAGAGGCGTCAGCAACACGCCGAGCATGGAGCTGGATTTCAGCAAAAAGTTCCGGCTCTACGACATCGCCCTGCCTACTCAACAGTGTCTGGAGGTCCGGGCCACAGTGCTCAGTCTGGACTGGCACCCCTTCTCTGTGGCCAGCATCATTTCGCTCGCCTATGAGTACCTGGACTTGTTAGAGGCGCCCGAGGACGCGACGTACGACTTGGACTCAGTCGTGGAGTCGTTCGGTGAGTCGGCCGACGGGGCTGCCCCAGAGGCGGGGTCTGCACCGGCCCATTTGGAGGAGGGCGATAGAGTTGTTGAGGAGACGCCGCACCCGGCGGGCCAACCGACGCCTTCGGTACGAGACCAGATGCCAGCGGGGCAGAGCCCAGCGAAACAAAGCCCGACGGGTCATGGTACAGCGGGAGGTGCTGAGGATGTGGCCAGTGCGTTGCGGGGTGGCGAGATCCCGAACGTTGACGTGATAGATCCGATTCCACCATGTCTGTATCGCATTGAGGCAAAGGGTGTGAAATTAAACTTTTGGGAAGATTCGAGTGCGAAGGCGATTTTGCAGAACTCCGTGGGATTGACAACGATGGAAATGACGGCGATTTACACCGAGGCAACGAAAGAGGAATTGAACGTGGATATGACGGTAGAAAAGGTTTCGTGCTGGGCTCAGGGTCGTTGTGTGTTTTCGAACGCATTGGATACCTCAACTGCGCTGCAAGTGAACTACCGCAAGTATATGCTCAAGCCTTATAGCGGTGCGTGTTTAGTGAAAATCAGCCCGGTGGAATACGCATATTACAACCAGGATTTGTTAAAATTTGTGCGTTATTTGTCTGGCAGTGTTTTAGAAGCGATTGTGAAAAAGTCCTATGAAGTAGCTAAGACCATCGCCCAGCAGAAACAATTTTACTGGGCTGTCGTCATGGACTCGCCCGAGCTCATAATGCCCGAAGACAAAACTATCATCCCTCAGATCTGGAAAAAATTCCAACAAGAAATCGCCAAAGACGGCGCTGACTTCTTCAAACGTCTTGGCGGCTACCGTAGCGCTGACATACATTACCGTGCCTGGGAGCACAAGCGGTACAAGCAGCGCGGTTTGGACACACTTCCGAGTGCGACCCAACTCTATGGAACGGAGCTCAATGCGACTCAACCAAGTGTGGGTATAATGGGCGGTGAGAGAGGAGAGGGCAGCACGGTGGAGACGGTCCAGACCATGAAGATGCGTGCCCTTGCTTTCGGTGCGGACCAAGACTTAAGCAAAGACTTGAGTAAAGACTTGAGTAAAGACTTGGGCAAAGATTTGGGTAAGGACTTGGTGGATTTGTTCCAGCCGAACTTTGCTGGTGGCGTGTGTGAGGCACACGCGAACCTGTTCAACCCGCCGAACGGGCACGGGCCGGTTGCGGACTTGTTACATTCGAACGTGGATCGGTACTATTGGGGTGCCTACGTCAAGGCGACATTATCGAAGCTGGTGATTGGGAACCTGGGGGAGAATGATCAGGGTGAGAGCAAGTTGAGCGTGAGCCTGCATGGCTTTTCGCTCAGCGCACATGGCAGCTATGGCTTTTATAGCGATAATGCCACCACTAACTCAGAATGCGTCACGGGAACTCTGCTAGACCCCTTCGACCTGAATTTGGCCATCGACTCAGACCCCTTAGGCCACTTGCTTGTGGACTCCGTGGCTACCCCGCTACATGCCAGACTCACTCGAAAACAACTAGCTGTCGTACTCGACGTCCTCAACGAAAACATCTCCGGCGGAGGTTACAACCCGCAACCGGTGGAGTCTCTCGTCCCATCCGCCGAATCTGTACAAGACATGTCGCCCACCAAATTCTCCCTCCGTCTTTCCGTCCCCGACATGCTCCTCGGAGCACTCTTCACAGAGACGAGACCTCTCTTCTCCCTGGCAGTCAAGGACATCGAATTGGCTGCTGACGCAGCTCTGTACTATGCATGTGAGACTCGCACACACCCTAGACACACACATGACGCATGGCACGGACTTGACGCACACGAAGTGGTGGTATTGCGTGGGGCCAGGTGACCTAGTCATTTATCACTCACAATCATGACCTTTCTCTGGTGTAGTTAACATATACGGTTTCGGTCTGATGGGCGGTAGCGTGACTTTGATGGATGAGCGAATAGGTTCCGTTAATTTGAACAAACAGTTTTGCAAGACCACGGACTTGCGAGGGAGCAAGGGCAACATGGAGTCAGCCTACGACGTCCCCTCCAACCTTCCTTCGGATCTCCCCTCCAACCTTGCTTCCGGCAACCTCCCGTCCGGTCGCCCGTCCAATCTACCATCTGGCGTCCCGTCGGGTGGTGCGACGGTGGATGATCAGTTGCCTGCTGCGGCTTGCATGACTGACGGTTCATGTAACAGCAGTCGTGCGGCAGAGCTAATGGCGAAGTTTTATTGGCTGCCGAAGGAGAGTTTCGTGTTCAACTGGTATCGATCGATACCAGAGTTGTCAGACTACAGTTTCCGTCTCTTCTTTACCTCGAACTTAAGTCAGAGCCGACTGGAAATTTCTGTGTTGCACGCCCAGTTCCAATTCCTCGGATTATTGGGACTGGATGCTTTCGAGTGGGTCGTCAGTTCGCTTGGCTTCAGTTCCCTTAAGGCTTACCCGAAACCCATTACAGCCGTAATGAAGAACCCGAAAACCAAAAAGGTTGCCTCCGTCCGGAACACTTCACCCCGTTCCGTCGTCTCGCCTCGTGCCTCCCCCACCGCCGGGGACGCGGAGCCTGGTGCCGAGAAGACCCCTACACCGGCTAAGTCCAAATCAAAACAGATTCTACAACGGCGCTCGAATTCCCCCGTTCTAAGTCCGTTCAAGAGCAGCACACTCAAAAGCAGCCCGGTCAAGAGCAGCTCTCACAAGACGGGCAGCAGCCCAGTTAGTCGGGTCGAGGACGTAGGGGTGAGCGGTGGACGTGTGGCGTTGCCCGAGAACATTCCTTTCCTCTTCGACATCTTATGCCATCGCGCACGTGTCGCTTTGCCTTGCGCCGACGGTGCCTCCTGCCTCTCTTGGACCACCGACCTCGTCGTTCGCGGTGTCTCGGACGTCACCGGTGTCACCTTCCCGCAGCTGAACCTCCTCGATGGCCAGGTCTTCGTCGAACGGGGTGATTCAGGTCGCAGCGACCTAGGTCGTCACGACCTAGGTCGTCACGACCGGAGGGGTTCGAGTCCCGGGGGCGGGAGATTAGGACCTGTGTGTGAGGGGTTGAGTTTGGTTGGCGGAGGTGGATATAAGATGTTGTATGATCCTGTGTGGCAGCGTGTGCCAGTGAAGCCACGGCACACGCGTTTGCAATCGTTAAATAAGCACTTGTACGGATTTCTGGCTGAAGATGTGGCGCACGCATTTTTTGTGGCGGAAGGATACTTCACATTCAAGGTGGCACCTATCCGAGCTCGTGTGTCCGTCGTTGATTTGCCAATAGTGCGTGAGGCTGTGTCGTTATTGTTCCAGGACATCCCGAGTGCTTCAACGGGCGAGGCGGCGCCAACCATCACACCACCGGTGTATGTAAAGCAGAGCAGTGGACCCTTCTGTCATCCCTCGGATCAGTCGATGTTTCGTTTCTTTAATGTGGAAGTGGCGTTACCGGAGGTTCGTTTGGAGTGTATTGAGACCAAGTCCGCACAGGGTATAAAAGTCCCCGTGTTCGCCCTCGATCTTACGGATAACGTCCTATTCGTTGGTTGGTGCCCTCAGGCATTGCTCGTGGACCTTGAAAGGTGCGACCTTCGCGTCCTTCACTATAACCTTAACGGTGGTGACTGGGAACCTTTCGTCGAGTCCTGCGTTCTCCACGCTTCCCTACGACGTACCAGACCTCTTAAACGTGTACTCGAGTTCTTGCGCGAACAACTCGTCCTCCGCACAGGCTTGCTCCAAGCCAACTCCAGCACGACACCCGCCCTACTCGCCAACGGCGAACCCGTCCTTGTCTCGCCCCTGACACTCCCCCTACCGTCCCGACCAGGCATACCACCACCGTTGCCTGGCAACCATCTCCAAGCCCCCGGCAGCGGGCTTGCCACCAACGGACTTGCCGTCGGCAACAGACTTGCGGTCGCCGCTGTGAACACTCTGGCCCCCAGTCCTACTCCGGCGCCCAGCAGCGTCCAGTCGCTCGTCAGCACGAGCATGTCGCCCCCGATCCTTACCGAAACCATCCACGAACGCGTGGAGAAAGACCCCACCTTCCAGGCAATCCAGGCACACATTTGGGATACAGGAGGCCACAAGACCCGAAAACGACCCGTACATCAAGAACGACTCTCTTTCACTAAGCCACTTACTCTCAATCTCACTCCCAGAATAATCCATGATAGTTTATGGATTATGGCCAAACTCAAAAGCGGACCGGAGATGCAAGAAATCACAACCGGCGATCGAACTGGCTCAGTAACCGCCGTCAATCTCAGTGGCGTTCAACTCATTCTTCTCAGACTCAGGTCCCAGTTTATACCCGCCTTTGACTCAGACTCAGAACAAAAAGGCAAAACTGAGACTGAAGGTCAAACTGCGACTGAACCTTCGGAGAAGAAAGGTCAGACTGAAGGTCAGACTGAAGGTCAGACTGAAGGTCAGACTGAAGGTCAGACTGAAGGTCAGACTGAAGGTCAGACTGAAGGTCAGACTAAAGGTCAGAATGAAGGTCAGATTAAAGGTCAGAATGAAGTTGGGAATAACACTCGGGGTGAGGCTACGATGGACGCGAATGAAGATAATCCTTTCGGTTCATTAGAGTCATTGAGTAATTTGACTCCGTCCAAGTTGGAGGATTTCGAGAAGGCGCCGGATGTGCCTAAGATAATGAGGAATTCGTACAAAACGTGTGTGTTGGATAAGGGATGTCGTCCGTTGGACGACTTCCTTTCATCAGCCTTGTTACCGCACGTGTCGGAGGACCCGGATGTGTCCAAGGCGGCGGCGAACATTGAGGCGTCGGGTGCAGATTTGTTTTGCTGCATTTTACCGGACCCATATACGGTGCGTGTGGTGCGTGATAAGATTATGGCGGAGGTGCCTGCGGGTTACATAGTGAGAGAGAAGGCGGTGGAGCGCGCTCTGATCAAACTGCATGACGTGAACAGCTGCATTAACCGTTTTAAAAACGAGTGTGTGCTCCGGGATCAACGCCTATCCACACTAACTGGTCCGGGGAACGTGGGCCCCACCACTGCGATCGAGCTAGATCCCGTGCCCGAAACATTTGGTGGCGTCGCAGTTGGAGCCGAACTGACCCTGATCAATCTTCAGAAAGCAAACGGTGCTGAACTCATGGCGCCCCCGCGCGCCCGTCCGGTCCTCGACGACGCCGCTGTAGGTCTCTCCGTCCTGTCCAAATACTCAAGCCGTCCTGTCCCCAGTGTGGGACCTCCTGCTGGGCGTCTGGCCGTCGGCATCGGCTCTGGCTCCAACTCAGGTCCGGCGCGATTGGTGGACGCCGCGATACCCACATATGAGGACGTACCGGTGGTGGCGCAGTTGATAAGTCCTAAACCGGCTACGCAGTTATTGTTTATCAGTTCGCCGGTGACTGTGCAGAACGCAGCGCGCGTGTTTCTGGAGTGCGTCTTCGTGAATCCGCATACACAGAGGCCGTTTCCGCTCAAGTCATGTGCTACGCAACGCTGTCCACTTTCGTTGCTAGCGAACCGTGCGGCGCCACAAGCGTCTGAAACGCGGCTTCTGTCCTACCGTGAGTGTTTCTCGAGCTGGCCGGAACTTATTGGGGACTATTGCGGTCTGGTGTCGGTTTTAGACTCGCTCGAGACGACCTACTCCGTTCCACTCCCGCCCGATACCATGCTAAGCGTGCCCGTGGAGGCCTTCAGCAGCGGACGCGTCGTCCTTGTCTTCCGGCCGCTGGCCCACCTCTGGGACGAAATTGACGGCCTCGAACCCCGTTCTGAAACCCGGACAGGCCTAGGAAGACGGATTGGACTTGGGCGACCCGCCCCCGCCGGCTCGGAATCTCTGCGCGCCAAGGTGTTGCAGGTGGTGTCTTCCTACAGCCAGGGCGGACTGCTCCAGCGAGGATTCACGGCACCGGTGGACAGCGTGCAGTCCTTTTCGGACACGGCTCAGCGCGGGAATCGGGTGCAGCGCGCGGACTCGGGGTTGTTTGACTACCGGGTCTCGCAGCGTTTCCGGGAACAGGGCCCGAGTCACTCCCGTCGCGTTGTCGTAGACGGTAAGCCGACGTACTTCGACGTAGGCTTCTTTCGGAAAGTGGCGCCGCTTCCAGCCAAAACGGCGGTGCAAGAAATCCTCATTCTGCCCAGCTTCACTTTTATCAACGCCTGTCCCGTTGCCCTAGTGGCTCGTTGTGCTGCTCAGGTCACAAAGAACCCTAGTGGCAACCTCCGCCTAAGTTCTGACACTGGCGCTGTCCGTTCCGGAGTCCTCCGTCCCGGCCAGGTCCACTTCTTCTTCGACTGCCCACCCCCCGCGGTCTGGAACACCCTCCACGTCTCTGTCGCCATTACCGCTTCCGAAGAGTCGGGTTCCAGCACAGCCTCGGGTTTCAGCACAGCCGCGGCCATCTGTGTGCCCGAAAATCGTTTCGTTCAAGACACAAGAGCTCAGACCACACACAACGGCGCCGATGATAACAATGCGGCTGTCAACGCAGCCGCGTCACGGGACCCGGAATTGGACGACGAGTTGCCGGTGCACAAGTTGTTTATTACAGGCAGCATGAAGTACGCTGATGTGGTGTTGGAAGCACGACGTGACGCGGCCGATGTAGCGGCATTTCTACCAGAGTTAGTGCACGTACGTCAGCAAGTATGTGTCGTATCTGCTCCCTATTGGGCTGTGAACCGTACGGGTCTCAACCTTTCACTTCAGAACGAAAGTGGACACCGATTCTGGCCAACTGACACCCATGCTTTTAACGGTATGTATTTAGCCGAGGAGGGAACCAAGTTCCAAATCTCCTGCGGTATCACCGGACCTGGTAGACCTCCCTCCGCCAAAGTGCCCCTTCCCGCACTCGGTGAAAGCAGTCTGGCCACCGTCGAAATTAATGAGCGAGAGGACGCATTGTTCACTATCAAGTGCGAGCGGATCAACCTCGCAGACACCGCCGGCGCCCTCTCCAGACTCATCACCGTCAGCAGCAAATTCATCTTCACCAATAACTGCCCCTGGCCCATCCTCATTCGCAGAACTAGACCCTCGCAACAAGAAAATGCCTACCTCGATCGAAAAACCACCAGCAGTGCCCTTGGAGGCCGTCCTGGCGGTCCTGGTACTGGTACTGGTGGCCGTCCCGGTGGTCGTCCTGGTGGTCCTGGTACTGGTGGTCCTGGTGGTGGAGGCAGTCGCCCGGGCGGGGCTACAACAGACCAAGGACCGAGCGCTGAAAATCGAGATACATTGCGCATAATGCCGGGAGAGACGGTGCCGATGCGCACCATATTCAAGCCTAAGACGCCGACTATTTACTTCCGACCCGACCCCCAGGCCACGGGGACCAAGTTTGCATGGTCGCAAGAAATTTACCCACTCGAACGTTGGATGGGCGATAACCACATCTACATTTCCGATTCGTCAAAGGAACAACACACGTTCGTTGTCCGGATCCTCAGCTACGACTCCATCAGCAACGTCGTCATCCGGCTGTTGGAAAGCCCGCATGAAATCGGTGAGACAGGCGTTTACATTAACAACCTCTTTCCGCCTGAGTCGCAGGTTTCCGCCTGTGTCCTGCCGTATCATAGTGAAAGCAAAGAAAACGGTGGGCGCGGCATGCTTCTGCAAGATTGCATTCCCCTCGACAACGCGTCCGAAACTAGACGGACCAGAAACGAGCCTGCTGCCGGCCCGGGTAGCCAACTTGTTCTCGGTAGCCAACTTGGCGGCAGTAGCCCGACTGGCGTCGCCAGTCAAGCAGGTAATCATCCTGGTAGCGCAGCAGAGATGTCCCGAACGGCCGGTGATCGGTCTTCTCGGCGGCAAGTGCGGGTAGTCGGGCCAGGTACGAGGCAAGTAGTATCATGGATCCGTCCTTTTGTGAACAAGTCACGTATGATGGCGGTGGTGCTACGGATCGATTCGGATACGTATTTCCCGAAGAGTCCGACTTTATTGAGTGCAATTGATGGTTTCAAACCGCGTACATTAAATATTGAATACAGCCAGATGCGTGAGAGCGCGAAGGAGGTGGTGAAGTTTTGGTTAGGTCAGGGCCGGTGTGTTGAGGCGACGCTGATGATGGAGAAGCGTGGTGATTGTGTGATCGTAACTATCGGGCCATCAGATGTGTTGCGAAAAATGGATACAAGAATTTCGATTTGGAATCCGTTGACTGGTAGTCTGGAGATGAATGAAACAGATCGGGAGCACTTGGTAGACGTGCAGATATGTCGTTTAGGAGTATCATTGATTAGTGAGAAGTTACGGGAAGAGCTTATTTTTGCGGAGTTATCCCATTTGGAGATGCATTCTTCTCTGAAGCGAGACACGCAAAAGCTGATTGTCTGGATTACCGGTATCCAAGTTGACCTTCAGGCTGGTGGTGGCAAAGTCTTGTTTGCTAATCGCGGTCGTATGAGCATGAACGGTCCCCAGCCCTTTTTGTCATTGGAAGTGGAGCGTCCTTGTGTGAGCTCGCGTGACGTGTTGCTAGAGAAGATTACAGTGGGTTTAGATGATATGGAATTGGATGTGGACACTGAAGTAATGTTATTGATCCAGGATTTTTATCGTGAATGTCTGAAGAGCCAAGGCTACACGTTGACGAGTCAGGGAATAGGTCTGAAGGAGTTGATGAGTAAATATGTAGGTATAGCACACTATACCAATTATAGCCCCCCTGAATTACCTCCTTGTGTGAGTATGGACCGGGCATTGGTACCGTCATTTACAGTACATTGCTGGTGTTCATTTGTCGTGGATAAGTTAGCGTTTCTGGGAGATACAATTATATTGGTGCTGAAGATCATTACATTGGGACAGAGATTTGATTTAAAGGGAGCACCATTAAAGTTCGAGACGCAGAATATTAAGGAGCCTATGCGTGGGAGTTTGTGGACGATTGTACATAGTCTACAAGGCACATACACATCACAGGTGTTTAACTCCATCGCGGTGTTGCTTGGCTATTCTTCGTTGTTGGATATCCCTCGCATCCCTATGGAGTTACTAAGGACTGGCGTCGATGCCGGTCTCTCCACTTTCAGTAACGTAACCAGCACTGTCGGCTCGCTCCTCTCGAGCCTGACCATGGACAAGGACTACATCAACAGTCGACAGCGCGATCGGAGGCACGCGACCTCTCTCACAGGCGGACTTCAAGCGGCAGCAAAGAACTTCGGAGAAGGCTTTATGAGCATCGGGAACGTCATCACTAAACCTGCTGAAGGCTTCCGCAGAGACGGCACAACCGGACTCGTTCGCAATATCCTCCCTGGACTCATGGGCACGGTAGTTAAACCCGTCGACAAACTCGGACAAGCCCTTACCAATGTTGTCTCAGGAGTACGCGCTGAATACGTAGAAAAATCCGCTTCTGAAGGCAAACAAGTCCTCCAGCGCAAACGGAAACCGCGCATGCTCTGGGGAGAACACGGCCAAATCCGCGAATACCGCAACAGCGAAGCCAATGTCCGCCACGCCTTGGGCCCACATGTCCGCGGCGTCATCGAATGCTTCCAACTCACCACCAGACGAGCCCAGACGCTGTGGCTCGCCTTCTACCCAAACCGAATCGGTAAACATACAACCACCATCACGCTACCACCACCATCACGCTACCATCACGCTACCAGTACCACCACAAAACTTCTTGCTTGCAGTGTTGTTCCGAGAAGCTCACCAGGACGAAGTCTCGTCCGCCGAACCTCACTGGGTGTGCGACGTTAGCGGGATCGACCAAGTTGCCGCCAGCACACACGGCATCACCATCCACAACAGGAGTCAGCGGTACCAAATTCCCTGCGCTGACCCTCTGCTACTCAGCAGACTATATCAGCAGATACAAGCTTTGCGGAACGCGCTAAACAATGTAGTCGTCGCCAATTCTTGGGGTCTCAAAACAGTGAATAAGTAACTACATCTTCTTCTTTGCAAAAGGGAGCAAACATGCGGCCATGCCATACCCCAATCTAGCAACATACATCTTAGAGGGAACGGACCGGCCACGTCATGGCCGGAGTGGATAGGGAAGGGACAGGATCGGGCAGGGGTGCTTACTTGTAAAACAGGTCGTCAATTTTGCCGGGGACGCTCCCGCCTGTCTTGCCGGTGGGGAAATGAAAGGCCGATGACCGGCCCCGGGCGTGTTCGAGTATCCACCGGTTGAGCTCTTCCACCGCTGCAGGGTGAGCGAGTGGACTGGGACAGTTGGGGGGGGCACTTTGGGAGGGAGGCTCGGGAGGGATGCTCTAACTCAAGAGGCGGGACGGGGGGGGGTATTCGTACTTTGTTCGGTGAGTTCATGTTCTCCTCTGAATTCGACGTAGCGGGTGACATTGAGGCCTTCTCGGGCGAGGAAGCGGTGCAGCCAGCGGCCGACGAAGATGGGGAAGATCCAGTCTTTGAGTCCATGGTACTGCAGGATGGGTACCCGTTTCATGGCGCTCGATTTGTAGAGTGTTCGTCGCCAAGCGTCTACGCACATGGGTGCACCGCTGAAGACGCCTAGGAAGGCAGGGGGAGTACGGAGACGGTGAAAGAGGTCGAGTGCGAGCATCGCACCTTGGCTAAAGCCGCATATACCCACACGATTGGCCGGGATGCGATATTTAGTGTAGAGCGCGTTGATAACGGTGAGTACGGCCTCCATGGCCTCAGCTCGGCCTTTGGGGTTCTCAATTGACAACCGGGCACTCGGTGAGGAGTCCATGGAGTTGCTCCGCTCCAGGCACATCCCGCAGTGGTACCATTTAATGGAGATTCGCTTCGGCGCAGTCGGCGGCAATCGCGATGCCAAAGGCGACAGTGAGGCCGCCGGAGAGCCCCCAACCGCTGCGTTTCCACAACTGTGCGGCGTCGCTGCCGCTACCTCCGGTCGCACTGACCCATACGACGCCAGCAATGGCGTCCCCGGCATCGGCGGCAATGTCATCAACCGCGCAACTGGACTCAATGCCGGCGCCGTCAACTGTGTGAGCATCGGACTTGCCCCCGTTCCGTGTGTCGGACTCGCCTCCGTTCCGTGCGTCGGACTCGTCCCCGTCCCCCTCTCGGGTGTCGCATGTGTCGACTCAGACAATTCCACACCGTCTGGGGACTTCTCTCTGATGTAGTGTGCGCTGGCCTTGCGCCACCGCGTTTTTTCAATGTCTGGCTTCTTGCGGAACACCGCCGGACCCATCAACTGCGCGCCGCCAATGCTGTTTTGCGGCTGGTGATAGATCGACCCTGGATGCTGACTCGGGGCTGGGTAGCCATTCGGGGCTGGGTAGCCATTCGGGGCTGGGTAGCCATTCAGGGCTGGGTAGCCATTCGGGGATGGGTAGCCGTTCGGGGCTGGGTAGGCATCCGGGGCTGGGTAGCCCAAAGGAGGGTCGGTGCCGCGTTCCGTGAGACGGGAAGACATCATGTCCGAGTTGCTCGTGGGAGGTGGAAAGATGCGGGGGCTAGTGACGGCTTCTTTGAGCACAGTCGGTACTGCCAAGTTGTAGCCGGTAAGAAGCCCGGCTTCGGGGCTGGAAACCTGGTCCCTGGCTGGGTCGTTCCCGTTAAGTATGTCCCACCACTTGTACGATCCATAGAGCGAATCTTCAACGGCGCCGAATTCATCTGCGTTCATTTTCTTCAGACCGAAAGGGAAGATGTAAGCGATGTTGCAGTCGCCTACGTCATGCTGTTCGTGCAGCAACCCCGCGACTCGGACGAAGTGCCATGGCGAAGCGCCCAACCCGTGCAGAAAGATGACCACAATGTCTGCCAACTCCAAAGGTGTATTCGTGTGTACAACACAACGAAGACTCCCCAGCGTCCTCTCAAATTGGTGCGGCTTCTCCTTCAAACCCTTGATGTACAGCTGGTACAGCTTGTCGTCTTTAGATACATACAACCGTGGGACTTCGCCTTCAGATGTAACTCGCTCGTGACTCCTCAGATTCTGACTCCCCAGATTCTGACTCCCGAGATTCTGACTGGTGGTGGGATCCTGGTGGCCGGCGTCCTCGCTGGTGTCCAGCAGGCTGTCACGAGGCTTGTTGGAGGGACTTGAGGCGCGGACACGTTTGAAAAGTTTCCTTTGGCGCCGTTCCTGCCGCTTGCGTAATTCGTCGATGGCTTCAGCTAGAGCGCGTTGACGGTCGGGGTCACCAAGACTGATGTTGGAGAGGAAGCGGTGTACTTGAATTACCGAGGCCATTTTGTTTTATGGTGCTGGTTCTCTTCTCAGTCTCGACCTTCGTCGAACCGGGTACGGAAGTTGCGGTGGTGGGCAGCAGCCCCTCCCTGGGCACTTGGTGTCCGGAGAATGCGATCCCCCTTTACCCGCAAACCAAAATCCTTTCGTCCCTTATCCCTACCACGTTCATGAACTGGATTGACATGCCCGAGATTACTCTGCAACCCGGAAGTGGAACGTTAGGCAGCGGAGGAACACGGACTAGTGGTGGAATGGGAAGCGGAACGGTCACTAGTGGAAAGCTGCCACGAGCGAGTCTGAACACCCGAGAGCCGATTGGATATAAGTTCGTCCGGCAAGCTGGTGGGAATAGTGGTTCTTCGACCCGGGCGTACCCCACACCGCTCTCGACGCCTACAAGGTCGGATGATAGCGCACAGCGCATCATCGACCTTTCGACGCGGCCTGTGATTGAAGAGGCAACACGTACCCGCACCGTTTTCAATAAGGACGGGCATCGACCGCGGTTCGTACTCAACACAGAGTACGCCAGCGAGTGGACTGTTCGCAACAAGGATGCTGTACAGTGGGAGGGTAGCGGTAGCCAGGACAACCGGTTCCTAGTAGGCACCTTCTTGGGTCGCGGGAACGAGGTGGAGGTTGAAGGCTTGGAAGTATGCGAAGACCGCCAAGTCGACGACCGAGCCAACATTCGCAGCCTGGCTCTGCACCCTCACCCGTCTTCTTCTCCTGGCGAATCTGCTGGCCACGGGGTCCTGTCATGGGTGTTCCTACCGGTTGCGGATTTCTTCGAACCACAAGGTGTTTCGGAGTACAGTCAAACGACCCGATATTACTTTACGGTAAAAGGTTTGCGGAGCATCCATTTCGCGAAAGTCATTGACAACGTGTTTGTGGGCAGCTGTCCCCGTTCATTGGAGCATTTGAGGTTGTTGAAACGGATGAATGTCGGGTGTGTTTTCAACTTCCAGGCGAACGACGACTTGCCTGAGAACTGGCTGAATGAGGCAGACCCCAAGGAGACTCGCCACGCCGCGGCCTTGGCCGAAACGTACCACGCCGAGTCTCTGTCTCTTGTACATCTACCAACCGTCGACATGAGCACACCCGCCAGATCCGCACTGATGGCCCAAAGTGCCTGTCTCATGGCGAACTATTTAGCAGCCAACCTTGACCGTGCGATTTACATACACTGCAATGCTGGAGTCGGACGTGCGGTGGCTGGCGCACTCAGCCTCCTACATTTCGTGCTAGGCATGCCCGAAGCGGAGGCCGTGGCCTTCCTTAAGCAACGTAGACCCATGGCCTATCCTGACCTTGTTGCACTTAGAGCCGGCCTGAAAGACTACACGCAGAAATACGCAAATAGTGTCAAGAAACTTCTTGGAGAACCGACGATGTGAGTGGCACAACCTAGCTCATGTGGCCTCGCTCACATGACCTAGCTCACATGGCTTCGGTCATGTGGCCTCGCTCATGTGGCCTCGCTCATGTGGCCTCGCTCATGTAGCCTCGGTCATGTGAGCAGCACGTATTTTTAAAGACGTTTGGTCAACCAGCACCCCTTTCTTCAGTTAGATACATAGGGACGAATTTTTGTCGTTTACACGTGGACGTTTATACGTGGACGTTTATACGTGGATGTCCCACATATCTGTAGTACATCGAAAGGTAACGTGTAGTACGTTGGAAGGTAACGTGTGTCCGTCGGGTGCCCGTCGGATGCAGAGGTTGATTACTCATAAAAGTCAGGGGGTTCGCCGCCGTGTATAGCGACAGGTAATGCTTCGGAGAAGTCAAGAAGCATCTGTGTGCTCTGTTTGAGGTTGATGGGTAGCGGGTTGCTGATGGCTGACTGGTCTCTGAGTACTTTGATAGTGGGGAGGAGTGCGGCGGTAAGTTCCTGAGAACTGCGTAGAATAGGTGCGAGAAGAGGGAGAGAGGCGGAGACGCCGGGTAGGGTTTGTATGACGGCGTCTAGTGCGACTCTGACGGCTGGCAAGACGGCCGCCAGGCCGCCGTTTCGTCCGAGTTGGTCGAGGACGTTGCCCATGGTGTCTAGGAGACGGACGGTGTTGGGCAGAAGAACAGCTCGGGCCTGAGCAGCGGCGACGGCTGCATGTAAGACGAGGTCAGCTGTGGCGCGGGTGGCAGCCAGTTGTCTGGGAAGGCGGGCGGCGAAGGTGATAAAGTTGTCTAGGAGGTTGTTGAGATCTCGTTCGTGTGTGCTGGTGAATGAGCGTGTATCGCGCACGAGTTGTCGAATTGTCGGGACGGCGGTTCGGATGAGGGGAGTGCGTGATGCAATCCCCCCTTGGCGTAGGACTCGAATAAAATGTGAGAAAAGCAATGGAATAAAGTCCTCCGTATTGTCGTAAAAGTCAATCAGAATGGGGCCTTCACGTTCAAAGCTGTCAAGAGCCTTACGCAAACTACCGGCCATGTCCTCACCCAAGTCAAAGACAACACGACCCAACTCATCTAGCGCCGGAAATGCGGCAAGATACGTATCTAACAGCGCGGTGAAATCTGGTGCTAGCGTTTGGATGTTCTCAACAATGTGACGTAAAGAGTCCATCGTGCCTTTGTAAAATGGATCCATATCCCCCAGTGCATCGCAAGACTCGGACAACGACCGGAACACCTGTTGTCCTGAGTCCATAGCACCACCCATTATTTCCAACGCCTGCGCACCCTCCCGAACCCATAAGGATGTCAATGGTAACATCCGCTCAACAGTCGTCTGCACTGATACCGCTGCCGTAACTAACTCCAACATTGCCGGCACGATGGTCACAGGATTCACACGACTCGGTTGGATTTCTCGTAAGGCCGCCAACGCACGCTGCGACAATAAGTGGATATGCGGTAATGAATCATGGAACAATGGCAACACATCTGCCTGCACCTCCATAAAGGCGTACAACGCATCCAGATTCGCAGGGTCCCGCTCCTCAGCCAAAAAACGATCCAACGATTCCGCCAACTTTAAAATCACACCACGATTCTCACCCACCGTTCGTAGCTCAATCGACAACCCCAACGAATTCAACGCAATGTTCAAACGTGTCGAATTCGGCCTGATAGAAAACAAATACAAACAACACACACCCACGCTTAATACGGGCAACACACACCCACGCTACGCCACGAAACACCAACATACGAACACTGCCATAGTGCTACCGCGGCAGGGATGGTATGGCAGTGTTTATAGGACAGGTGCACGTTGTCATTATGCTATGCACACTGTCATTGTGCTATGGACATTGTCAAACACTATCGGGAATGTTATCACTAGCTAACTGGCATCATTAACTAACTGCTATCGTTACGTAACCGCTAGCTTGCGCATTGTATGACTTTGACCGATCTGAACAAACCGACTCAGCAGGGGTTGGTGGTGGCTCTTACTGTTGTATTTCCGCGAAGGAAGGTCCTGGTTCGACGTTGGATAGGGCTGCGTATCGTAGCAGTGGTGCCACGGCCGCTTGCAGGCTTTCGTCGAAGATTTTCGCGATGGTCGTGGCGTCCAGTTCGAAGGTTAGGGGTTCCTCCTCTTCTTCTTCGTCGGCCGAAGCTAGCTGCATGAAGCCGCCGCCCTGGGCGTCAAAGCCGCTGTAGTCCTCTCGAACGGGGAACACAATAGACTCCAATGTGGTTGCCAGTCGGTCTGTATCCCAGTGGCTTTCTAGGAAGCTCGGTTCGCTGGAGATGTGGACATTGTACTTTGCAGCCACTATCAATGCACAATTGTTATAGTCAAAGGGGGGAGGACGGTAGTTGTTCTCAGGACGGTAGTTGTTCTCAGGGTCGACGGTCTTACACTTTGCTAGTTGCGATTCCGCGGTCTGACTAAGAAGGACCTTCACCGCTGGGGGATCCCAATAGACACAGTAACAAGTAACAGCGCTCAGTACGATGTGCAAAAGCATGTTGCGCCGGAAGTCCCAGAAAAAAACTTGACAGTGGGTTATCTACTACCAGCACGCTAAACCCTCCACTACCTACAAACGCAAACTTAGAGCTGCTAAACTTCGAGCTACTTCGAGCTGCTAAACTTCGAGCTACTTCGAGCTGCTAAACTTCGAGCTACTAAGTTGTTAGACTCCGAGAGCTTTTTTGATGTCGTCTTCCATGGCCATTGGGCCTGTCCTAGGCCCGAAATACTTGACGTCTTTTCCTTGATTGGTTACAAGAAACTTGCCAAAATTCCATCCTATTCTTTGAAGTTGTGCTTTGGTAGCCTCATTAACCGTTTTATCGCCTGCTTTATAACCAAATACTCCGCTCCGCATCCTACAAAAATAACAATACAAGTTGCGTGGTCTACGTGTGTGTGTGTGTTCTACGTGTGTGTGTGTTGTACGTGTGTGTGTGTTGTACGTGTGTGTCTTCTTGAGAACATGTGTAAGTACTGAAGCATGGGTATGAATGTGTGTGTGCATTACTTAAGCCAATTGTATATGTCATGAGCTTCTTCGCCATTTACATGCACCAGATCGAATCTAGGAAATTTAAGTTTACTCGCGCGCTTATCCCTTTCACAAGCCTCAGCATGTTCTTGACTGAAGTCGTTACTCGGAAAACCTAGAATCTAAGAAACGATCGAACGCGTGTATCCCTTTTCCCCGTGGGCTTTCCCCTTTGGGCTAGGAAGGTCATTCCATGTGCTAAAGGCGAGTCCTTGGCGGGCATTTCTATCTCGTGCAGAAATCCATCTCGAGCAGAAACCCATCTCAAGCAGAAATCCATCTCGAGCAGAAATGCTCCCTGCCGCAGAATTCCTCCCAGAGACATGCCTGTGAGATCTGCTTACTTCAAGGCCTTGGTCTGAGTATTTGTCGTATAGCTCTTGCAGCTTGTCATAATGACCCCCGGTTAACCCGCATTTACTGGCTGTGTTAACAACTATGATTGCTTTCTTCGACTTCAGAGAAGCAACGTCGAATGTATTGCCATTACCCAACGACGGCCAGTTACTCAGGTCCCACAGGTGCTCAGCGTTCTAAGAAGGCTATGAGATACACGTCTGTGTTCCGTATACCTTCACATTTGCTATGTCAACAGACGGAGATTTGAAGAGGAACATCTTTTTGGAAAACTCGTTTGGGTTTTACGCACACGCGTGTGCTTGGTACCCTAATATGCAACAAGACGGTTGTCGCAAGCGATTAAAAGAACGCAGGTTGGCGACGCAACAAGCTGTAGAAAAATCGAAAAGACGGCGTCGATCAAGTGATGTTATTGGCACGCCGAGAACGAAGGGTAAGCGGAGTGGGTTGGTCGTTTATTTCGTGGCTGGGACAAATTCCGCCGAAGTGGGAAGTTTGTATTTGGTTTAGTTAGTTATTTGTTCATTTAGAGCACCAACAGCCGCAGAGTCCTCAGACCCCTGGGGCTCCTGCCCGGCGTCAGAAAGGTGGCGTGGTTGACTGGATTCGAGTGCTATCAGAGTCTCGGCTGAAGAGGACATCTTATCGACGGAGTCGTCGTGGTGGAATAAGGGGTGAGGGGCTGAAAAAGGCTCGAGGTGAGTCTGAAGCGAAGCTATCGACGGAGGAACAGAGTTCATCGTCGGATGATGAGGTATGTTGGGACATAAAAGTATCTTCGGAAGATGAGGCATACCTTGGAGGTGAGGTATGTGTGGAATGGCCTGTGTGGTGTCCGGAGACGTGGGAATTACGTTGTACTGAGAGGATTTGGAGTCCGGTTGAAGTTATTGCTGCTCGTTTCGGTAGTTTTGAAATGTTGGATACTTTAATTCAAAACCATGACAGAGCTTGCCCACGAGGTTCGGATCGATCTTCAAGCTTGGATTTGGATGATAGAGGACTGGATATATTGGGTCAAAACGCCCTAGGTCAGAATGCAATGTGCGCACTTTGTTCTCAGCCTCCGGCGGAAGTTCTAATATTTGAGGCGCAATCTTTGAAACCCGCCTTGTTACGTGAATATGGAGAAAGTCTGGACGTCTGGAATGCCCAAGTCGTACTAGGAGGAGTACGGAGCTCTGAGATTCTAGACTCACTGCTCTCCATAGCAGAAAAACGCGAGGAAGAAATGGTCCTCATCGCGCTCACTCTCCTCCAGAAGGGCGTTGACCCAAATCAACCAGACGCTGCTGGGTTCACTGCCTTTGACTACGCCAGACTCTTCAACCACGGACGAGTACTTGTAGAACTGTCGAACTCGAAACCTCAAAGAGCACTCAGCCTGTACCATCACCGGTCCAAAAAGGCGAACCTCAACAAAGAAAAAAGACCCAAGAGAGAGGTACCCAAGAGAGAGGTATCCAAAGCCACTGAGCTACACACAACAGACTCAGAGCTTACCGCCGGGGAACCCGGAATCAACACGGGACTCGGAATCAACACGGGACTCGAAACCAAGTCGGGACTCGAAACCAAGTCGGGACTCGATACCAAGTTGGGACTCGATACCAAGTCGAGACGGGAGATAACGCTGGAGATCCATGAAACTGGTTTTGGCTGTTGTTCAGATGGCACCGCCACCACTGACCGACCAGAATACGAGGAGCTGGAAAGGCAAGACGAGGAGACACAAGGAATAACATCCGACAGCGATAGTGGGGATGATGATCGCGGTAAAGCTGTGACACCAATGGATACAATTAAAAGAACGCATTTCCCTCTTGAAGGGGAATGGAAAAATTCGGAGTGGAAAGATTCGGAATGGAAGGAGCCGGAGTGGAAGAGCTCATTCACGTCAGAGTTCCCACTGGAAGGTCTTCCGAACAAATTGGACTTGAAGGGACTGAGACTGGAGATACCGGAGATATCGGATTCTGAAGAAGAGCCGGAAGAAGGCGAGCTCAGCGTTACTGATCTCTTTGGCGACAGTTGGCGTGCAGGACTACTTGCGACTGAAGATCACGCTCAAGGCCACCTGCTAGAGAATCAAGATCAATCGCTGAAAGACCAAGAACCGATCAGGGAGCATGTCGGTTCCATCTCTAGTCTGGTATCCGTCCAACGCACACCAAGAGTTCCACAAAACTTAATGCTTACAATTACCACCACTGATACAGAAATACCTGATGTCAGCACCCCCAGAGCATCGTTAGACATCGCTGCGGAAGTATCATCCCCGCCGTTGCCACCGGATACACTGCAAAGTTGCGCATCCCACTTGCCCACAGCTTGCGAACTGTCTACGCGCGGGAAACGGAAAAGTCGACGTTTGAATAAGATCCATTCTCAAGACGCTCGGACGACCTCCTTGTCGCCCGATGCCTCGCTGGCCGATATTTGTACTGGCGAGAATTAGAACGGCATCAGGCAACGTATGCTCGAAGATCATCATTGAATTAAGATCTTAGTACATTCTAGATAGGTTAGTACCGTATGTACAGACGACAAGGTTCCCATATTTGGTATGCACGCTTGAGAGGGTTCTGCATTTAGTTGTATTTGTTTTCAGTACTTCAAACCTGTTGGATATTAGCTGTTTCCTAAAGAATTTTTCGTTCCGGGAATGGAACGTGCGCGCGTTTGCACACACTTTTTTGCGCGCGCGCGCCACATGTTCAAATTAGTAAATTCACAAACGTCTTAAAGTCTCTTATCTTCCTCAGGTGGATCGAGGCCTCATCGTCTGTAAAAGATAATTTGTGGTGTCCATGAGATAGTCCTTTGTATGAGATCGGGATTTCTCCAATTTTTCCGTAACATTCTTTGAATACCGATCCATTAACCAGAACTGAGCGAGCGCGCACTTCGCCCTTAGGAGAGCGCCAAATCAATGTCCAGTCAATATAAGACCCGAAATGAGTCCCCAGGGAGCGGTGGAGAATGGATTCTAGCGCTGTTCTTAGTCGCCGAGATTCCCCCCAACATAGCCAAATGCCGGGTCCGGGGTTTTCCAGTAGAGCTCGAAAGAGAAGACGAGCGGGGAGGACGTGCAGTATAGAGCAGAAATTCAACCATGTCGAATCTTCTCCACGGGATTCTTGATTCGGGGGAGTGCGGATCATACTATCTACAAAACATATGGGCGATGTTCTCGAGATTGACTTGGGTTCTGGCTCTGGTTCGCATCGCCGCTCATCTTCTCGATCATGCCGCTCTTCGTCACTTGTTGAGAGTCTCCGAGATTGAGACCCAGTGGAGCGTGCACGATGTATCCAAGAGGATCTGCGGGGTGTGAACTTCTCGCTATACGATCCGTTGGAGTCATACTTCGTCAGATCTCTCGGACGAGCTCTCGGGGACAAAGAAGACCAGTTCCTGATTTTCACCGCGTGTCTTGCGCGACCCGTTCTTGGGCTCGCGGCTGTAAGACGAGCGGTCATGAGACTAGCAGCCGTGGGACTGCCAGCCGTGGGACTAGGAGCCCTAGGACTAGGAGCCTTAGGACTAGAAACCCTAGGACAAGCAGCCCTAGGAGAAACCGGGGGAGCGGGCTCGTGAAGGTGACGAATGAAAGCGTCAATGATGCTCATCGAGTCATTTGAGATCATTGGTTCCTCGTGCAGGGAAGAACATATTCCCGTTTCCGCTGTCGGACTGCAGTTGCCTACCCACAAACACGATTCTGAGGACATGCGGTTCGGCGACATTCCTGCTAGGCCGCGGACTGTTGTAGAGGCCGGCATAAACGACAAATAAGGATCAAGGTGCAATTGCAGCAAACGCATGAAAAGTGATTTGATTTACGCATATATTAGATGCCTATCAAAAAGTGTGTGCATACCGCTATCGAACAGTTATGTTGACGAGATTTGTGCTTGGTACCTTGACCGTTATTCAGTGTCAGCAAATTGCGGGGCGGTTTGACATAGATTATGGTCCGGCAGTCGCGTTTTCGGACAGTTACCCCGACAGTCAACTAGATCGATTTCGTGAAGACAATTATCGTGAAGACAGCTATCGTACCGAGAATCATTACCCGTCAAGTGCAGACCCTTCGTTTGCAGCGTCGCAGGATGCTCGTTTCGCCAACGAACACTATCAGGATCTTTTCTCCTCGCGGGAATCGTACAATGGGAAAGACGCCTACATGTATTTGAATTCCCCCGCTCGTCTGAACTCCGCATCTCGTGTGGACTCAGCATCTCGTGTGGACTCAGCATCTCGTGTGGACTCGGCATCTCGTCTGGACTCGGCATACACACCGTCCAGACTTGATTCGCCTCCTACGCGTTCTGACTCATCGGCTCGTCCCGTACAAGAGGCGTATGGTGCTTTGCGAACTTTTGCACAACCAACAATTCGTCCGCCAGAATTTGAATCTGGAGAGATTCCAACGTCCGCACCCGTGGTGGAACGGCCGGTCGTTAGCCCTGCGGAAGGGTTGCATATATTGAACACACTCTTAGCTAATGGAATTAATCATATGGATCAATTTACTCGAGGTCTACTGGAGGAGATGGGGAAGCTGGTGCAGCAGTCGTCGGTGACTGTTTCGGCCAGCAAAGTGAAGCAGCAGCTCCAACAGGCAGACTACGGTATGAGCCCGAAAACGCCAATCGAATTCAGATCATTGGACCCCAATTTCTGGTACTCCGCTTCAAATTTGAATGACGCAATCTCACGAAGTTTGATTGAATGGATTAATATGCTGAATGGGCATACACAGACGGCAATCAATGGCTGGATGGGGGTGCTAGACCAATGGGGTCGTGTCTTTGAGACTCAATCCAACTTCCAACAGCGACTGAGTCATGCATTATGGAAACTGCACCAACATGTAAGCCTCCCCCTTCCTGCGTTCAACCCCCTGCGTTCAACCCCCTGCGTTCAACCCCCTGCGTTCAACCCCCTGCGTTCAACCCCCTGCGTTCAACCC